TTCCTCCATTAAATATTCAGAGCTAAACCCACAATGGAGTCAGTCTGCTGCTGTAAAGAGTCGAAATGTGTCCTGAATGTCGGGAGCTGCTAAAACACACAGAAACATGTGAAGAAGTTAAAAGGTTTCTGCCTCACTGCACTGAGCCATTGTGTTCTTCTACAGTTTTATTATAAATATTACGCAAAATTGACTCTTGTGAGATTTAAGAATCTGTGTGTCGTTCGTTTATTCATTTTTCAATATAAAACCAAAAATAAGAAAACGAAAAAAAAAAAAAACAGTTTTCTTCATTATTTGTCTCCAAAACCAAAATGAAAAAAAAAAATGTGACTGCGATGTTGGACTTTTGCACTGCATACGGATTGAACCAGGACTGATCCAGGACCGGGACCAGACCAGGACTGAGACCACAACTGAGACCGCGACAGAGACCGCGACCGAGACCGCGACAGAGACCGCAACAAGCCCGGGACCAGACCGAGACCAGGACTGAGACCGCGACTGAGACCGCGACAGAGACCGCGACAGAGACCGCGACAGAGACGACGACAGAGACCACGACAGAGACCGCGACAGAGACCGCAACAAGCCCGGGACCAGACCGAGACCAGGACTGAGACCGCGACTGAGACCGCGACCGAGACAAGCCCAGGACCAGACCGCGACTGAGACCGCGACTGAGACCGCGACTGAGACCGCGACTGAGACCGCGACCGAGACAAGCCCAGGACCAGACCGCGACCGCGACCGAGACAAGCCCGGGACCGAGACCGGGAGTTGTTGTTTTTTTTTCCAAAGCTCAAAATGCTCTGTTCCAATTTTTACATGAAAGCGTTCTGAAGGGGGTTGACTTGGCACTGAAAAACATGAAAAAGTTTTTCCAGGTGAGAGTCGCTCAATGTGGATGACGAGGCCCCGCCCCCTCCCCCCGTACGCTGTCCTGGTTTTGACAAACACAAATCTGGTCACACTGACCTGTATTCACCTGAGTCATGTCTTTTAATCCAACACAAGTTGAACCACATCAGCGACACAAGAGCTGGAGTTTTATCTTCACTTAGTTTATGTAAATTAGTGATGTGGTTTTAAGTTTTGTTTCGAACAAAACTGAATTAAACACATTATAATGTCAAACAGCTGATGTGGATCTAGAGTCGTTATGTTTATATGTCGTAAAGTTGAATTTATTTATGCAGATTAGTGCAGATAGTAATAATAATGATGATCATTTTAACCCTCTCCAGGCAGACGTTGCAGATTTGCAACAGCTAAATGCCAATTACCTACTTACTCCACATCCATACTTTATGAGCCTTTTTTATTCAGGAGCCTTTTTTCTCATCCATGCTGATAAACGTGGACGATGCAGACTGTGTAAGAACGGCTACACACAAACGACCTGCCAGAAGTGCAAAGAACTTTTGTTGTTTACAAAGGATAAAAATTGTTTCTTGGAGAACCACACGAAAAAGTGATGTTGTTCTGCCACTGTAAAGCTGTTACACTGAGTTTTATGTTTTCATTGTTCTGAAAAGTGGTGAACACATAAAGTTAGTGTTCATATCATTTTCAGTCTTCAGTGTTAATTTACCAAACCGGACCAATGATGCAAATCTGAAACATCCCAGACACACTGCATGTGAAGGTCTCTCTCAAACAACAAGTCAGGATTGTATATCACTGCCCCATATGATCATTTCCCCAAATATCAGATTTTTTCCTGTTACTAAAATGTAATTTGAGCCTGAGAGGGTTAATATAAAAACGTTAATGATTACTTGAAAATCGATTGCTTAAGACAATTTAATCAGATGCCCGTCGATAGTTCACATTCACCTTTTGCCTATAGTTCAGGAGAGATCGGCAATTCCAGGGTTGAAATTATAAAAATGATTCTAGTGACGGTGTGTGGAGTTTAAAAGAAGCGAAAAAGAGCGTTTCCTGTATTACCACGTGACATCACAAGGTGGAACTGAGTGTTTTCTGTCTAATCGCCTAAATGTGCAGGGTTTGTGCGTAAAAAAAATGCGTGAATGAAACAAAACACAACTCCGGGTCTGTTTTTGACGAGGAACCGACATTAGAACAGATTAGAAAATAGCGTAATACTGGTCCTTTAACACCCAATCAATACGCAGTGCTCCCTCTTTAAACACGGGTGATTGTTTTCGCGCGTGGGTAGCGTTACTAAAGGCACGAGAGCGTCATGAATATTTGTGAAACATGACTAATTTATGTACACGCGGATGCCAGATTCCTGTTCGGTTCCCTGACTGATCTCACCGAGTGGGTTGGTTGGAAAGACGGGTGCGATTTTTTAAATTTATTTTCCACGCAACATGTGAAATACGAAACGCCGTATCTAAAAATAAGTGAAAAAGCTTGTCTCCGGGTGCTGGAGTGATTCTCTTTCAGAACACGTACGGAACTATTTTAGGGAGATCGGAGAATGAAGTGTTTGATTTGAAAAAATATCAGAATATATCTGTGAATTTGAACCGCGTTGGGTTTAAAAACAGAAAGATAACGACAAAATTACACTTTTATTTGGTACTGGCATGTTCTAAAGCCGCTCTAGATGAGTTTTGAGTGATGTGTGCTCATTCTGACACTCATAATTGATTTTTTAATTTTGTATTACACATTTTTTTGCATTTAAAAAGCCCTGTACTCGATTTTTTCTCATGTATTTGACTAAAACTGGTCTTGCCCTGGTAGATATCTTGTAAAAGCAGCTCTTGAGGTGAAAATAAATCTAGTGCCTACTGTCTGCATCATTTTTATTTATTTTTATTGACTTGAAAAGATTGGCTTTGACAATAGACGCATCCCACTGAGAATCTCATTACTGTTTATTTTGCACGATCATAAAAGATAAACTTTGTGCCTTCTTCATTACTATTATTAGTTTGTACGACCATAAACGAAAACAGAAAAATCCTGAAATGTTTTGTTCTCATTGCTGTTTATTTTGTACGATCATAAACGATAAACTTTGTGCCTAGATTAACATTATTATTAGTTTGTACGACCATAAACGAAAACACGTTTCTGCATGTATGTATATGTTGTTATACATATGTGTGTAAACATTTATATTGAGTATATTTACTGGTTATATATGATGTGTATATGTATGTATGTATGTATGTATGTATGTATGTATGTATGTATGTATGTACATGTGTGTACATGTGTACATGTGTGTGTACTTGCATATGTATGTAAGTATGTGTGGATATGTTTTTGTATATATGTGGGTATATTTCTGCATAATGACAGGTAAACACTCCAAAGGTAATATAAAATTAAAAAAAAAAAGTGAACAACATGATTATATAAAACAATTGGTGTAGGATTCTTTTTTTTTTTAACTTCATCCTCCTCCTTTTGAGCACCAGGTCCCAAATATGTTCATGTATATATCCCTATTTGGTAACACTTTATAATAACTACACCTTACTTAGCCTTAATAAAGCATGAACAAAGACTTGATTAATAATAAACAAAGATTTAATTAATAATGATTCATGCTTAGTAAATTTTTAATAAAGGATAATTAGTCTTCACTTTAGAAAAGCTCTCAAAAAGACTTAACAGATAACAGCTGCCTGAATGATCATTGCATTACATTATTAGTAAATCATTCTCTCATAGCTTATTAATGATTAATAAATGCTCAAATGGTTAGTTCATGAGTAATTAAGTATGAAATAATTATGAATAACTATTTACAGCACAGGCAAATTAAGTCCAAGTGCGAATTAAGGTAGTAATTAAGTAGTTACTAAGCGTGAATAATTATTAATTAAATCTTTGTTCATTATTAATTAAGCCTTTGTTCATGCTTTATTGAGGCTAAATACGGTGTAGTTATTATAAAGTGTTACCCACTATTTTTGTTATTGTTTTTGAATTTTGTTGTACCCGGCTCAAACAAATCAATCAATCAATCAAACATGGCAGTTTGATGCTCACTTTTTCGGAAAATCCTTCGCGGTATTGCGCGATGACCGGAAGTCTGAAATTCATGATGCATGTATAGTGTAATATCTGCGCACTTTAAATGGCCCATCTCCTTGCAAAATCCACTTTTCAGATCTTTCTACCTTCTCAGAGTGATGTGTGGGTCTTGTATTTGTCGCTGAAGTGGTTTTTAGATGGTTGATTCTGCATTTTTAGAACAAATTGCAGTGTATTTCTTCTGCCCTCCCACATGACAACGAACTAAAGCTGCTACAACGATGACGCGGCAGATTCACCTATGACACGTTTGACATAACAGAAAACACTTCACACCCGACCCCCTCCACCGCTCCACCACCTCCACCCCGACTGCAGTGAACACGATATAATAAATTTATCTACTTGAGCTTCGTGCTCCTCAAAGTCCTCGTCCGATTCTGGGTCCAACACATGCGGCTGAACGCGCTGTATCTCCATGATGAATAAAAGTTTATTCCTGCCTCTATCAGGGTCACGTCTGTCTCCCCCTCCCTCCCTGAGATGGCGGAGGAAGGGCGGCTCACTCAGAGTCTACGTCACGTTTGGAGGGCGGAGCCTGTGCTTTCTCAGGACGGGCGGAGGGAGGAGCAATAGTCGGACTTTCATAGTTCCTGGTCTGTGACTGTCTCCAAGAAATCAGGAAGATTTCAGAACTATTGTGTAATGGATGTTCCAAAACTCAAACTGTGCTTGTTTATGTGCAGAAGATACAATGTGAAAAGAAATATTTTACATCAGATGGACATTTAAAGAACAAATAAAGTGTTTGGAGCGTGTGTGTGTGTGTTGTATGTGTGTATGTGTTTGCGTGTATGTGTGTGTGTGTTTGCGCGTGTGTGTGTGTGTGTTTGCATGTTTGTGTGTGTGTGTTGTACCTTCTCCATCTCGTTGCTCTTCCTCTTGCGTGCAGACCTGGTGATCTTGTGTTTGTGTGTGTTTGTGTGTGTAGGGGTGTGTGTGTGTGTGTGTGTGTGTTTGCGTGTGTGTTGTACCTTCTCCATCTCGTTGCTCTTCCTCTTGCGTGCAGACCTGGTGATCTTGACGGTGACGGCGCTCTCCTCGCCCTGCCTCCTCAGGGCCATGCGGTTGGGCTGCAGGGGGCTGAAGGAGATCTCCAGCTCGGGTCTGGGGAAGCGGCTGGTCCGGCCGTTCTCCGTGGAGATCTCGGACGAGTCCAGCACCGACGGGCAGCTGGCTGAGCTCTGCGGACGTTCAAACGACGCGGGGGTTAAATAAAAGCTGCACCGTGTAACTTTTCTGGTGCATGATCTGTTCATTTAAAGCTTTTCTCCATGGAGACGTTATTCCTTTGTCTGGAATGTTCCACAGTAGGGGTGTGCAAAAATATCAAAATATCGATATATCGTATCGTTTAATGTGATGATACAGTATCGATATCATGGGCTACTGTATCGATATTTCACAAAGAGTATTTTTAGGTGTGTTTTACTAAATTATTTTGTTACAGAGCTACTGTTTTGTTGCTTGTGGAGTGAAAGGAAACTCATTTATGCGACACATTTGACATTTTCACTGTTTTGATGATTTAAATGTTTGTGTTTCATATGAACTTTGCACAAGAAGTGGTTTAACAAAGACTTTTAGTATCACAGCCACGATTTAGCCTTTATTTTTTATTGAACCGTATCGAAACGATTTGAAATATATCATATCGAATCGAAAGTGCACTGTATCGAGATATGTATCGTATCATGGCCTGTGTATCAAGATATGTATCGTATCGGCAACTTCTTAATGATACCCAGCACTATTCCACAGTATGGCATTAAACCTTCCTATCTCCATGGAGACCAAACCAGACGGTGCTCCAGGTCAGATCTGTGGAGAGGCGACCCCGCTCCCAGCCAGAATGTCAGCACAAAATTTACACACTTTTCTCACACAGGACACTTACAATTTCCTTTTTACATCCTTCTGAAAACTTATCGCTGCTTCGTCCTTTTGTTATTTTCCTCCTTCTTTGTTCGAAATGAATAAGGTAAGTGAGGAATAACTTTTTTAAAAACAAACTAGTTCTGGGGCGTCGCTCACAACAAGAACGTCTGATTTTCTAGGTATTTTTGAGTTATAAAACCACCTGTAATTAAATAAATGTAATGTTCACATGTAATGTGTGAACAGATTTTTGTTGGTATTTCAAGTAGGGGTGTGCAAAATATAAAAATATTGATATATCGTATCGTTTACTTTGATGATCAGTATCAATATCGGGGACTGCTGTATCGATATATCGCCAAGAGTATTTTTTTGGTATATTTTACTAAATTATTTGTTACCCTGCTACTGTTTTGTTGCTTGTTTAGTAGAAAGAAACTCATTTATGCGACACATTTGACATTTTTTCTGTTTTGATGATTAAAATGTTTGTGTTTCATATGAACTTTGCACAAGAAGTGGTTTAACAAAGACTTTTAGTATCACAGCCACGATTTAGCCTTTATTTTTTATTGAACCGTATCGAAACGATTTGAAATATATCATATCGAATCGAAAGTGCACTGTATCGAGATATGTATCGTATCATGGCCTGTGTATCAAGATATGTATCGTATCGGCAACTTCTTAATGATACCCAGCACTATTCCACAGTATGGCATTAAACCTTCCTATCTCCATGGAGACCAAACCAGACGGTGCTCCAGGTCAGATCTGTGGAGAGGCGACCCGGCTCCCAGCCAGAATGTTTGTTTTTCTTAGTATTTTTCAGCTATAAAACCACCTGTGATTAAATAAATGTAATGTACAGATGTGTGAATAGTTTTTTGTTGGTATCTCAGACAATCGAGTGAAAATCAGGCCATTTAAATTTACTTTCTGTGCTTTGACTTTACCTGACTGATGACTGAAGTCCTGGTCTCCCTCCTGCCTCTGGATTTGCGAACGAGAGCTTCACTTTCCGGACTCGCGCTGCTCTTAATCTGTCGATAAGAACAAACAGCAGACACAAAAACACACGTGAGTAATGAAATGAGAGGCGGGCGCGCCGACACCGGGCTCGGGCGCTCGGTGACTCGGGTGACTGGCAGCATTTGTCAGAGGCGCGCTGCCAGCGTAACGGCGTCGGCAGCGGAGTACGGGTCCCTGTGGTGCGACGCCGAGTGACGTATTCAGGTTAAGATAGAAAACTGTGATGGAAGACGAGCCGCTTCGTCCTCGTGTTGGTGCAAACGAGTTTATTTTAATACGGAGGAGAAAAGGGACACTGTGTTAAAGTTAAAAAAGACTTTTAGAGGGGAACGAGGAATGGGACGTCTGCTTTTTCTAGTTTTAAAAGGAAGTGTGTGTAAGGTTTTGATTTTAAATTTCAGAAACTTGACCCAACTATCACCACGTTTACATAAGAGATTTAATCCTCAATAAAAATGAATCCCGTTTTAAAAAGTCCATGTAAACACTTAATTCCTAATGCAAATGATTATTTGGAATTAAACTTAAAATTCTGAAGTAAGTGTTTGGTTTTTTCCGATTTTAAAGCTGAATTAATTTTGTTCCTGGATCATGTTTCTCGTTTATTCTTGTTGAATATAACATGGGTGCTTCGGCGCATGATTGTTGTGTCGTCCTTCTGATGTAAGCCGGTGTGGTGTAGGATTTTGACCCCGCGGTGAGGTGACCCCGGGGTCAACTGACCATATAGTATTTTGACCTTGGGGTCAGAATCCTATTATGTTATGTTGACCCCCCCATAGAATATTGACCCCCTATGAAAATCTATATTTTATTACTAAACAACTTGAATTCTATAGAAAAAATGTAGAATATTAATACTATATCTGCAAATTAAAACATATTGACATATTTAAATGTGTTTAATGCAGTTTTACGCACATGGGTTTATGTTTTACAGAAACAAAACTTAAAAGTGCATGGCTCATTTGCATAAACAGCGGCCAGCTCTAATAAGAAGTCATCCAATTTGGCTTTGAAAAAATTTTTCTTTCAAAATATTAATACAAATTGGGAAGGTCAGGGTTAGATTACATTTACTCTGAAACGAATCACTGTATCAGAAACGATCTGCATCCAGACACACCGTTTCTGTGTCCGTAATCCTTCCCTATCCACACAACTTTGAGAATATTTGTTTACATTTTACAGAAATAAACTGAGTGCTCATAAAAACAGTTCACTCCTTGTGTTGCTGATGTGGTTCAGCTTCTGTTGGACTAAAGGACATGACTCAGTGGAATATGAATGTTCTCTCTGTGACAGAGGATGTGCTGCTGATGCTCTGGTTTGTAAATGGTGGAAAAGTTTCGTGGTGCTAAAGTACCAACTTTTGGCTTTCACAGCGACAGTGACGAGTGAATGAAACACAAGCAGCAAAATCAGGAGATGGGGGCGAGCACAGAGAACAACAAAGGAAGCGGTGAAACCAGAATTAAATATAAACATTATATCGATATATACGATATGTCAGAATCCATATCGAGTGTAAAAAATACCTCGATATATTTCAAATATCCTGATATCGCCCTCCCCAGTCCAGGCTACATACAGTTTCTTCAGAAGGTGTTTTGCTGATAAAAAGTGCAGAGTTTGTGTTTGATTGATTGATTGATTCGTTTTTAATTTGAGTTTGAGCCAAGAGAGAAACAATAATCAGGTATGCTACATATACATTGTAAACAACAGAAATGTACATTTCTTGAAAAGGAGTGGGAAGAAGAAAAACGTATATGAACCCACCTCTATTCATGACATAGTTTCAAAAATTATGTGTTTGTTAAATTCTGTGATCAATGTGCAGAAGCAAATATTTACATATAGCAAATTTAATTACATATTATGCATAGAAAATATAATTTTAGCCCCAAATCCTTTTTATTTTCATACATGTTTGGTGAGTACAAACATACATGCGTCAGTACTGTGGTGTTCTGATCACAGTCTTGTTGACAATAAGTCACAGAGTCAATTTTTGTTTTCAAACTGTTTCACTGCCCACTTCTGCCAACAGAATCCGTCCAAGTGGGAGTGGGCGATATTGACAAAGAATTATTTTAGGGGACTGTCAAAACGCCAGAACGGCAAACAGATCAGTGCTGAAGTTCTTTTAGAAGTGTCATGCAAACCTGAACCAAACTTACACATGCCCTTACATCTGGACACATTTAAACACATTTATAAAGAGAACATTTAAAGTTGAGTCAATAAAATAAATAAAAGGCAAAATTTGGAAACTGAATTGCACAGTTTATATATTTGGAACGTTCATCTTGTGAGTCTTGTCCACAGATTTTATAAAGAAGTGGACTAAAGGCCGCCCCACACTACAGCATTTATCGGTGTTAAACGATTTTTAAACATGCGACAAAAAACGCTCACCACAAACACGAGGAAAATCTTACAAGACTTAAAATCTCCAATGGCAAAGTCTGCAGCGGGACACGTCTGCGGACCACAGGATATAAAGTTGTGTTTCCTGTCTACAGTAAAACCACTCGCTCAAGACTCTTAAACTCCGTCCACACTAGTTCATATTCGAGTTGTTTTGGTTGTGTGTACAGTGTTCGTTCACATTAATCCGATGGAAAACGGCTCCAGAGACGGAACGATCTGGCGCCTCCAACTCCCACGAATTCATGTTGGTCCAGATCTGATCCTTGACTGTGTGGACTCCTGAAAACACTGATACTCTGACGTAGGAGCTCGAGTCTCGTCCTTATTGGACACGTCACCGTGACTCGCTCCTTCCTGATTCTCTGGATTTGTGACGTTGGTCATGTGACGATATTACGGAAAACAGTTTAAACAAACCAGAGACAAACGGGAAACTATTTACACAGAACAGACTCACCATCAGCAGAACACCCCTGTGTCACAGAAAGAACACTCATATTCATATACTCATAGTCGTGTCCTTTCAGAAGCTGAACCGACATCAGCGCACAAGGAAAGAGATGCTTTTTTGAGTGCTCAGTTTATGCAAATGAGTCATGTGGTTTTAAGTTTCATTTCTGTAAAATGTAAACAAATGTGCTCAAAGCTGCATGGATAGGCCAGAGTCAACCCTCGGGCCTTAGTTTGATGATTATTTTTTATGTACTGAGTCAATTTGAAATATATCGTATCTGTATCGAGATGTGTATCATAACGTCACCTATGTATCGAGGTATATATCGTATCGGTAACTTGTTAACGACACCCAGCCCTGTTAGCTCAGTCCGTTTACACAGTCTGTGGTCTTGTACCAGAGCCACACGGCGCCACCTAGTGCCTCCGCTCAATTTCATCCAGAGACTCGATCAGGAATCAGGATACACTGGACATTTTACAAGAACTCTGAGAGTTGTAGACCGAGCACTGGCCAATCAGTGAAGAGCTTTGAAGCCGGTGTGGTGACCCCGGGTTCACACTAATAGACGCTATTAGTTTTAAATCATGAAACATTAAAACTGAAAATACAAAAACACATTAATTTGTGCTCAGCAAACAAACGTAGGGATTTTTTTAACTGACGGTAAAGAAGCTGACACTTTCAGACAATTTGCATATTTTTACTTTAATCTGTCTGAATTTTTTTTTTAAATGTAGATATCATTGGTCGTAAGTGAAACTAAAAGCTTCCAGTGTGGTGTGTCTGTGGTGTTCTGGACTGACCTGCTCGTTGTCCCTCTGGGTTCGTGCTTTCTGGAGTTCTTCTTTCAGCCTCTGGATCTCTGCGTCTCGTTCAGACAGAGCGGCCTGGAGCTCTGCCACACTGACCCCGGCACCGGCCTGAAGAACCGGAGAGCACACGTCACGCTAGAACGTCACGCTAGAACGTCACGCCAGAACGTCACGCCAGAACGTCACGCCAGAACGTCACGCCAGAACGTCACGCCAGAACGTCACGCCAGAACGTCACGCCAGAACGTCACGCCAGAACGTCACGCCAGAACGTCACGCTAGAACGTCACAGCAGAACGTCACACCAGAACGTCACAGCAGAACGTCACAGCAGAACGTCACAGGAGAACGTCACAGCAGAACGTCACAGGAGAACGTCACACTAGAACGTCACACTAGAACGTCACAGCAGAACGTCACAGCAGAACGTCACACCAGAACGTCACACCAGAACGTCACACCAGAACGTCACACCAGAACGTCACACTAGAACGTCACAGCAGAACGTCACAGCAGAACGTCACAGGAGAACGTCACAGGAGAACGTCACAGCAGAACGTCACACCAGAACGTCACAGCAGAACGTCACAGCAGAACGTCACAGCAGAACGTCACAGCAGAACGTCACAGCAGAACGTCACACTAGAACGTCACACCAGAACGTCACAGCAGAACGTCACACCAGAACGTCACACTAGAACGTCACACCAGAACGTCACACTAGAACGTCACACCAGAACGTCACAGCAGAACGTCACACTAGAACGACACAGCAGAACGTCACACTAGAACGTCACAGCAGAACGTCACACTAGAAGGTCACACTAAAATGTCGCACTAAAACATCACACCAAAACGTCACAGCAGAAACCAGGACTAAACCAGGACTCACTGTTGGGATGGGCTCGGGGGTGACCACAGGAGAAAGAACCGGTGTTCCGGCGCAAAGGTCTACCCCGGTCGCCCACTATCTGCCCGCATTAAATTCCAGAACGTTAAAACCCGCTTGTTTCAACAACTATTTGCCCGCGGGGACCCGACCCGGTGCACGACTCTGGACTCTACAGTGCTTCTCTCTTCCTTCAGCGTGTCCAGAAGTCCAACTTTTTGTGCGATGTTTAGCGTCTTCCTCTGTCTTTTGGGGCGAGCACAGGAGACTTTGTCAATGCAGAACGTTTCGTCGACATTGTGGGTTTTGTCGGGGAGAAAACTACTTCTTCAAAAATCTCACGGCTCGCGATCGAACATTTATGTAAATTTGTCAAACTGAACACATTCTGTACTGTACAGGAGACAGTCTACGGTCTACAGTCTTTTAGCCAATCAGGACGCAGGGGGAGGAGCAATATGCATTCATACAGCGAGACCACAAAAGGTGAACCGTGATATAACGTGAGGGACAACTGTGTACAAAGTTTTGACCGCAGGTTCAGTTCTGTGGTGTTTGTGTTGCTCTTGAACTAAACTGACTCTGTGACTCTGTGTTGTATTTTCCAACGTTTCCTGAAGCTGTGACAGAGCTCCACAGTCTCATGTTCTTACTTGAATGTTTATCTTCTTTTTTGGTTGTTAGAAACCTGTTAAAACTAAGGATAAGCATTCGATGAAATTTCATTAATCGATCGTCGGGAGAATCGATCAATTATCGATTAATCATTAATGTTTTTATATTAAAATTATCATCATTATTATTACTATCTGCACTAATCTGCATAAATAAATTCAACTTCATTCAACAACATATAAACATAATCACTCTAGAGCCACATCAGCTGTTTGACTTTATAATGTGTTTAATGCAGATTTGTGCATTAAACAGACGCTCGGTTTAATGGTCCAATGAAAGGAAATGAAAACCTGAACATTTGCATCACTTACATCACAAAAAAAAAAAAAAAAAACCCGAACAGGCAGAACATTACGTGGAAAACGGAACATGTCTGGGGAAAAACGGACGTTTAGTCTCCCTACGCTACACGCAGCAACCTACATTCAGTTTGTCGATTAAAAAATGAACGTAATCGACGAAATTCTTAATGATCGATTAATCGACTAATCATGCCCATCCCTAATTAAAACGCCTTAAGTCGGTCACATGTGCCACGGTTACCACAGGAACCAGTCTGAATATCCAGGATCCTCTGATGGAGCATGAACACAGGGACATGAGTATCTTTGTTTCTCTGAGCGCAGATAAACACCACATCCACAAAACTGTCAGAACCGGGATAAGACTCATCACCAGGACACTGATGCACATGTAAACGCTCTCATCTCTCACTCCAAATACAAATCCAAGCTCTAAACTGCACATCAGCCCGTCTTTAAGCCCACTGTTTTGTTTGTCTGTGTTGCGCTGACCTCTGGTGGCGGCTGGGGGGCGCTGGGGGCACTGGAGGCGCTCTGCTGCAGCTCCTGGATGAGTTTGTCCTTCTGGGCCTGGCTGGAGAGCAGTTTCTGGAGCTGGACTTCCAGAGCGGACACCAGCGCATCTCTGTCCTTCCTCCACTGCTCCATGGTCTGCTCCTTCTGGGCCAGCTGGGACGACAGAGACTCCTGACGGGACAGAAGATTATGATGAGAGTCTAAATGACACGTTTACATGAGAGCTTTAATAAAAAATCATTTAATTCTGAATGAAAAATGAATTCAGTTTTGAAAAGACCACGTAAGCACTTAGTTCCTAATAAAAATGATAATTCAGAATTAAACTTAATAGTGAAGTAATTGTTTGGTTTATTCAGATTTTAAAGCTGAATTCATTTATTCCTGGATCATGTAAATGTTTGTTCTTGTTAAAAATACCAAGACTGAAAGACTGAAAGTGCCCGACTGTTAAACTCAGACACTGAAGCTGAAGGATTGGATGGATTGTTTGTGGAAGGAAGATTGTTTTGTATTTTATGTGTCAAAACTGAACAATGTTGAGAGTTTTTGTGAATGAGTTGAATAAAGTTTGACTGATCTGACTGTTTTGCCTCTCCTCCCTCTCCTCCACTCTTTACTCCTTCTCCTCCCTCTCCTCCCTCTCCTTTACTCTTTACTCCGGCTCCTCCTTTCTCTCCTCTCTCTCCTTCTCCTCCCTCTCTCCTCCCTCGCTCCTCTTTTCTCTCCTCTGTTCGTTCTGTGCTGCTGCGTCGAGTCTCACCAGTTGGTTCTGTTGTCGTTGGTATTTCTCTCTGTCCTCTGCGAACCTCTTCATGTCCTGGTTCCTCCGGTCCTCGGCGTCCTTGGCCTGTCCGATCAGGGACATCTTCTCCTCCATCCAGGTCTTTCGCTCGCCGCGGTGTTTCTCCAGGCACGTCTGAACAGAAACAAGGGCAACAAAAACAAGGGCATCTGTTAATATTACTTTAATAATGCCATATTACTGTTACTGTTTGTCTCTGGTTTGTTTAAACTATTGTCCTCAATATTGTCACATGACGATGTCACGAACCCAGAGAATCAGGAAGTGTCACAGTGACGTGTCCAATAAGGACGAGATTCGAGCTCCTACATCAGAGTATCAGTGTTTTCAGGAGTCCACACAGTCAAGGATCAGATCTGTACCAACATGAACTCGTGGAGCTGGAGGCACCAGATCGATCCGTCTCTGGAGCCGTTTCCAGTCAGATTAGTGTGAACGAACTCTGCATTTGTGGATTTCTCAAAATGAGTGTCTTAAAATTACGTCATACTGGAAATCGGTGGATTCGTGTAACTGGTGATCCACAAATGTGAATCACATTTTACAAACAGAATTTTTTGTTTTACAAATGAAATAATTTTTTGCAAATGAAAAAAATATATATTTGCAAATACACATCTATTTGTAAATACCAAAATACAAGTTACAAATATTAAATTTGCATTTGTGGATCAAAACACGTGAAGCGTTTTCTGCTACGTCAAACGTGTCATAGGTGAATCTGCCGCGTCATCGTTGTAGCAGCTTTAGTTCGTTGTCACGTGGGAGGTGGCAGAAACACACTGCAATTTGTTTAAAAAAAAATCTAAAAACCACTTGGGCAACAAATACAAGACTCACACATCACTCTTAGAAGGTAGAAAGCTCTGAAAAGTTGATTCTGCATGACATGGGCCCTACTTTAAAGTGTGACTGAGATACAAAATACAAAATAGAGCTGTGTGTAAAAGGTTTAGAGCCGACACCTTGAGGTTCTCCTGGGCCTGGGCCGTCTCCTCTTTGGAGACTCGGAGCTCGTGAGAGGAGGAGTCCGGCTGCTGTCCGCTGGGCCCGTCCTTTCTCAGCAACAGATTTTTGAGTTTATCCACCTCTGCAAAAGACAAAATCAGAAACAGATCAATACATAAAACAGTTGGGCAAACAATTTACAATTCTGAACAGTGGAAAGTAACTCTGAATAAACTATGAACTATGAAAACTGACAACCACCTGAGCAAAAGTTGTCTGTGGGCTGCTGTGCCTTTAAAGTTTGTATGGAGGATTTATTTAAAGTTTCAAAAATGTCAATAAAAGTTCAAAATATCATTACAGAGCCAATAGAAAACAAGGAAACTAGAGGTGTGTAAAAATACTGAAATATTGATATATATCGTATCGTTTAATGTGATGATTCAGCATCGATATCGTGAGCTGCTGTATCGATACATCACCAAGAGGATTCTTTTGGTTTATTTTACTCAATTATTTTGTTTCAGCTCCAGTTTTGTTGTTTGTTCAGAGGAAGGAAACTCGTTTATGCGACACATTTGACATTTTCACTGTTCTGATGCTTTAAATGTTTGTGTTTCATAAGAACTTTACACAAGAAGAAAGTTTAACAAAGACTAAACCAGGACTAAATGAGATTTAAACCAGGACTAAAACAGGTCTAAACTTTGACTAAAACAAGACTAAATCAGGTCTAAACCAGGTCTAAACCAGGTCTAAACCAGGACTAAACCAGGACTAAACGAGATTTAAACCAGGACTAAAACAGGTCTAAACTTTGACTAAAACAAGACTAAATCAGGTCTAAACCAGGACTAAACGAGATTAAACCAGGACTAAAACAGGTCTAAACTTTGACTAAACCAGGACTAAACCAGGACTAAACCAGGTCTAAACCAGGTCTAAAACAGGACTAAATTAGGACTAAACCAGGACTAAACAAGGTCTAAATCAGGTCTAAATCAGGATTAAATCAGAACTAAACTCAGACTAAACCAGGACTAAACCAGGTCTAAACCAGGACTAAAACTGGACTAAAACAAGTCTAAACCAGGACTAAACCAGGTCTAAAACAGGTCTAAACAAGGACTAAACCAGGTCTAAAACAGGTCTAAATTAGGTCTAAAAAAGGTCTAACCCAGGACTAATCAGAGAGTTACTGTATTTCTTGACAGTAGTTTTAGAGCATCAAAATTCAGACCCTAAATCGATACTAAAACTAAAATGTGTAAAAGTGTCTTAGATGTCTTAAGAAACAGGTTTTTCTGTTTTCATCGTGTCACTGAAATCAGTACTGAGTTTTGAGTCTATTCCTTAGTCTTAAAGTTATTCAAATTATTACATTACCCGTATTTACAGAGTGAATGTAAACTAGGTCAGATGTTTGTTCATTACCGCTGGTCAGCTGCTGGATGTGGTTGTCTTTCTCCTCCATCACGTGCTCCATCTGCTCCTGGGTCTCCTCCTGCTCCGACAGGGCCAGGCGCATGTTCTCAATCACCTGCTTTTTGGCCTCCAGCTCTAACGAACGAAAACAGAAGGAACCGAGGTCAAACTGTCGGCTCGTCACGTAAAAGGCCCAGATTAAACTCTCCCGCTCGTCTGATCCGTGTTATATCGAGCGCGTTTAAGTTCACATCAGTGTTCAGGATACTGTGTTTACCGTATTTTCCGCACTATTAGTCGCTCTGGATTATAAGACACACTGTCATTAAATGGTCTATTTTTGAACTTTTTTCACAAATAAACGGCGTGGGACTTTAAATGAAACCCAACAGTGTGATGGGTGAGTGGTTTTGTTTGTTTGTTCGTTCACGGTGACTCTGGGCTTTGTTCAGTTGTGGCGTGTAGGGAGGGTGTGTCTGGGACCAACGGATTGTCGGCGTGTTCACAGTGACTCAGTTGTTCAGTCGTGTCTAGAAGCGGCACGTTGCGCTCGTGGCTTTTTCGGTTCGTTCCTCCGTTCCGTTCCTCGTCGGCGTGGAGTGATGAGTGTGTGTGTGGGTGTGTTTCGCTGTGCGGTCGCTGTCTGCTCTGTGTGTGTTTGTGTGTTCTGTGTGTGGTGTGTTTGTAGTTTACTGAAGTCGTGATGGGGAGTGGATTCGTGTATGGGGCGCTCTGGATTGTGGCGTGCGGTCCTTTTTTGATGGGGTTGGAGGCTTACCCATTGACGCCGGATACTGCGCTGCACAGCGCTGAGTCTCCTGTCGGTGTCCGGATTGTCTGGCAATCAGTGTAACTGGTAAAGGCGGAGCCACATCTGGAAGCATGGGGGGCGTGTCCTCCTCTCGCTTCCATTCACTCCCATAGAGACGCAAAACTGCCAGAGCTGTACTGTCGCGTTAAACCTTCTTTATCGTAGCGTATTATTTCCCCATTGAAAAATAATCCAAATGTATCCCGCACATGTTCCCATCAAGACCTGGCATTTGAAGTAACAAACGTTGCGCTTTACTGCAGCGCATGAACGCAGCTCAAACACTTGATCTGTTCACTGTTCCAGACGCTCCTATAACAGGTGCCATATCGCTATGTCATGTAACAAATAAACATGGTCAAACACAAAAATGCTGACAGTGACAATGACAGTGAAGACACGGATACATTTGGATTATTTTTCAATGGGGAAATAATATGCCACGATAAAGAAGGTTTAACGCGACAGTACAGCTCCTGCAGTTTTGTGTCTCTCTATGGGAGTGAATGGAAGCGAGAGGAGGACACGCCCCCCATGCTTCCAGGTGTGGCCCCACCTTTACCAGTTACGCTGATCGCCAGAAAATCCGTAACACCGACAAGAGACTCAGCACAGCGCAGCATCCGGCGTCAATGGGTAAGAGCGCAACTAATAGCCCGGAAAATACAGTACATGCACACTGAGAAACCGGGACACTCATCTCTCTGTGACATGATCAAATAGAGTATCCCGGTTTCTTGACATAATCTTACAAATGCACAAGTGCAATAACTGACTTAATTTTATTTAATAAACAAGGAAAAACCATGAGCTCCTTTACCAGAGGAAGCTCGGGGGGTTTAACCAGCGTTAAGGAGCTATGAGGTATAATCCCACAATCCACTGCACAAATCAAACCAAACGATTCCAAACAGCAGATTCTTCATTAAAATCTTCTGCATAAATAAACTCAACTTTACAACATAAAAACCAGAACCACTATAGAACCACATCAGCCCGTTTGACATTATAATTTATCTTTGCGCAAATTTGTTTACATTTTACAGAACTTAAAACCACATGACTCATTTGCATAAACTATAAACTGATAAAAACAGCTCTTTCCTTGTGCGCTGATGTGGTTCAGCTTCTGTCGGACTAAAGGACATTTCCAATCTCGACTGAACTAAAGGGAAAAGTGAACCAGAAAACTACCACTTCATGACATCACACAGTGGGACAGATGATTTTGAGCTTTGAAGATGTAGCTGTAGATGTTTAATATATAGGACCTTTAAATGAAATATTTTGTACAAATATCAAAATTAGAAAACCAGACGTCCAAGTTTCCAACCAGATTAAATAATTTCTCAGAAAGCAGGAAAACTCGGAACAGTTCTGCTACTACTACTACTGTCTTGTTCAGAAAATGGTGGTGTTTTGTTGTTTTTGTTTTTACCTTTAGATGCGTTTTGGTAAAGCTGCTGCGTCTGCTCTGACTTGCTGTGAGACGACTGGTCCTGCAAAAACATTAGTGACAAATATTAAAACTGCACATACTTCAGGTCAGTAGAGACATCGCTGTACACAGGGTTCACACTCTTTCACTGACAACATTTATGACTTTTTCATTAGGTAAGTGAATTTTCCATGACTTTACGGCACCTACATGTGTAGAACTGATCAGACTTTTAGGTGTAAATCTGAAACATTAACTCTTTCCACTCACCTTATGGTTTTGGATTATAGTTTTTTAACATTTAAAATCCTGTCAGTGTATTTATTGTCATCTGTTTTAAACAAAAGTCGCAGACATTCAGAAATAATAAATCAGAACAGTCTCATGAGAACTGAACAGAACTCTGGAGCTGTGGGAAAGACATACTAAATGTCCATGACTTTTCCAGGCCTGGAAAATTACATTTTCAATTTCCATGACTGACTTTTCCAGGATTTCCATGACCGTGGGAACGCTGTGTATATCCTTGGCTTACAGCATTTGTAAAGAATGGCAAAATCACTTCCATCGTTCAGTCAATGTACAATTCACAGGAGCACTACGGAACTTTTCTACTGCGGGGTCTCCATGGAGATACTGTTGCTTTGCCTCGAATATTACACTTTTTTTATTACAATCTTAAATGTTTCCTTATGTATTTCTTATGTTTATTATTATTATTATTATTATTATTGTTGTTTATTTATTTATTTATTAGTAAAGGGACTGTGCATATTAAAGAATATTTAAAATGTTAATATGTAAAGATGATATAATTTACATTTTCAGTCCCTCGGCAGGTTGACGTCAAATCATCTACAGGACACGGAAAAGTACAACAACAATCACACAAAAGTACACAACACCAGCAAACTCACTGTAAACACAAGTAATTTCTCGGAGTTCATTTGAAGTTCAAAGTCAAGAGTTAAAGAATAAAAGTGCACATCTGATGTAAAATAACTCTTTTCACATGGTATCTGCACATAAACAAGCACGATATAAAAAGTTGATCTACTAGTGTTTATTAAAAATTTACCAATCAGTAATGTTCAGCTGATGTGGACGCGGTGCTTGAGCTTCGTGCTCCTCAAAGTCCTCGTCCGATTCCGGGTCCAACACATGCGGCTGAACGCGCTGTATCTCCATGATGAATAAAAGTTTATTCCTGCCTCTATCAGGGTCACGTCTGTCTCCCCCTCCCTCCCTGAGATGGCGGAGGAAGGGCGACTCACTCAGACCCTACGTCACGTTTGGAGGGCGGAGCCTGTGCTTTCTCAGGACGGGCGGGGGGAGGAGCAATAGTCCGACTTTCATAATTTCTGGTCTGTGACTGCCTCCAAGAAATCAGGAAGATTTCAGAACTATTGTGTAATGGATGTTCCAAAACCCAAACTGTGCTTGTTTATGTGCAGAAGATACAGTGTGAAAAGAGTTATTTTATACATCAGATGGGACGTTTAAATCAAAACTTTTGGTTCAGGCGTAAAATCTGGTCAGCTCCAGGCGCTCTCACTGACACACGATCGGCTGTAAACCTGTCAATTAAAATGCACTCGCCGTATCACTGACATCGACCAAAGTAGAAAGCGCAATTTATCAACCTTTTGATTTTTGGCACTGCCCTATATTAGAATTTCTGAAGAAATCATTGAAAATTGTTCTGGAAGAGGTAATAAACAATAAATCTTTTGGCTAAAGGAATGCACACTAAAGCATCATATCCAGTGTTTTTACCCTTGTTGCATTTTTAGCACTTTTTTTGTTGGAAAATGTGTTTACTGCAAATATCCAAAAAATGTAACAGATCAGCGAGATCCGTATGAGACGGTTCGCTGTGAGTTTGTTCTGACCTTGCATCGCCGGCTGTGGAAGTGCAACGTTTGAGTTTCATTCTGGGCAAAACTGACATCTTTACGGAGGCAGAAAAGTTACGCAGTGCACCTTTAATATGTCTGTCCACAAAAGCCAAAGCCAAAGCCGCAGCCGCATTCACAAACTCACCATTTTGAGGCTGAGGATGGTGCGGTCTCTGTTGGCCACGTCGGTCTGGAGCTGCTTCTTGGACTTCTCCAGGTCGGACAGTCTCTGCTTCAGGCTCCTCTCCTCCTCACGCATGGACGAGATCTGCAACACCAACATTCACACACTTACTCACACACTTACTCACACACTTACTCACACACTTACTCACACACTTACTCACACACTTACTCACACAGGTACCGTATTTTCCACACTATTAGGCGCTCTGGATGATAAGGCGCACTGTCATTGAACTTTTTTCACAAATAAACCGCACCGGACTTTAAACGAAACACAACAGTTGGATGGGTCAGTGGGTCTTAGTCTACGTTCAGACTGCAGGGCTTAACGCTCAATTCAGATTTTTTTTTTTGTGTGAAATCCGATGTTTTTGTGAGGTCGTTCACATTTCCAATTACACACAGAAACCTACATTTGGTTTGTCGATTAGAAATAAAACGTAATCGATGAAATTCTTAATGATCAGTTATCGATTAGTCGACTAATCATGTCCATCCCTACTCCAGAGAGATTTATAGTCTGAAAAATATTGCAATTAATGAGTACAGCAGTTTAGGAAAGAGCATATTTGTGCAGAGCCGCACCTCCTTCTGGACCTGCTGGATCTGTTTCTTGTAGTCGGCCAGTTTCTCCTGGAGCTCGTTGCCGTGCTCCTCTCTCCTCTGAAGCTCCGCGCTGAGGCTCTTCACTTTGTCCGTGTCCTGCTGCGAGCTCTGCTTCAGCCTGAAGGGGGCAGCGCAACAATCAAACAAACACAGGAGCAAGTGCAAAATCATGAGGAGAGCAAAGATTATAAGAGATGGTAAAGTTTAAGACAAAATCCTGCCTGGTCCTTTAACTGGACGTAATAAAAGTATTTACAATCTAATTTTACTTAAAGTCAAAGTATCGAGTATCTGTACCGGAACTGAAAAAGCCCTTTAATGGTATTTTATAACAAAACGCAGCAGATTTGCCACAAGAGCTTTAATTTCAAATGAAAATATTTTAATTGTGAATAAAAATTAATTCCGCTTTAAAAAGTCCATGTAAACACTTAACTCCTAATGATAATGATGATTCGGAAATTAAACTTAATTGTGAAGTAAGAGTTTGGTTTATTCCGATTTTAAAGCCGAATTCATTTCTTCCTGGATCATGTTTCTTGTTTCTTCTTGTTAAAAATAATGCTGGTGCTCCACATACAAAATGTTCTCTGTAAACTCAGGATGATTTCTTAGTCAGACAAATGTTTCCTTTTTGGTTCTTCCTGTGGATCAATCCTGCCCATCACCTTCACCTTTCACTATTTTTCAATTCCGTTGGGAAGAGAAACAGTTTGAACGGAGGTTTGAGTCACACACATCTGATTCACTTTTGCAGAGAACAAATTTCTCAAGTCGTTTTCCGCTGTTAGGATCCAACAACCACAACAATTAACGATGTCTGAATCCCAAAACTAAAATATGACAATATCAGAACCAGAAACAAAAGTGATATGGTTCAAAAGACTTGAAAAGATCGACTTTGACAATAGACACGTCCCACTGATAAAACAAACATGGAGATTTTGTTTTGTTTGTTTCTATATGTTTTGTTAATATTTTAATATGAAAATCTCAATAAATACACTGTTAAAAAAAAAAAAACACTTATAAATAATAATTTTCATTAGGAATTAAGTGTATACATGGTCTTTTTAAAGCAGAATTCATTTTTATTCAGAATTAAATAATTTTTTATTATTCAGAATTAAAGCTCTCATGTAAACATGGACGTATCTGCTGTGACAAGAAGAAGAAACATTTATCAGTCTTCCAAAAACTCACCAGGCTTCAAAAATGGATGAATTATTATTATTATTCTTCCAGAACAACAGTATAATTCCCACTCTGACCGATCTCCCACCGTCCACATACCTGTTGATCTCGGCGCTCTTCTTCTCCAGCTCGGCGTCCTTCTGAGCGATGGCCTCCTCGGCTTTGGCCAGCAGCTCCCTCCGGCGCTCCGCCTCCCTGCGTCTGGTCTCCTGCGCGGCCTGGCTCTCCTCCTGCTCCCGTCGCTCCAGGCTCTTCTGCAGCGCCGCCACCTCCTTCTCCTTCTCCTCCAGCTTCTTCTGCGCGCTCTCCCTCCTCCTCGCCGACTCCGCCAGCTTCTCCCTGTGCGCCTTCTCCTTCTCCTCCAGCAGCTTCTCCATCTCGCGCAGCTTCTCCGCCCGCTCGTCGCCTTGGCTGTTGTAATCCTGCAGGGCGGAGCATTTGCCGTTCGCCAGCTCCAGGTCGGCCCGGAGCTTGTCGGCGATCTCCTGCTGCTCGTACAGCTGCAGCTTGGCGTCGCACATCAGCTGATCGGACGCCGCCTGCTGCTCGCCGAGTTGCTTCCGCAGCGCTTCCAGCTGCTTTTTGGCGTCGGCGTCTTGCTCCAGCATCTTCTCTTTCGTCTTCTCCGCGTTCCGTCTTTCGTCCTCGAGCTTCGCCCTCAGCTGGTTTTTCTCCTTCTCCTGCAGCTCCACCTTCGCCTTGAGCTCGTCTAGGGGGCGCTGCAGAGCCTGGTCTTTCTCCGCCAACTTTTTCCTCAGGTTTTCCATTTCCTCCTTGGACGCGGACTGACGCCGGAGCTTTTCGTTGAGCTCCGCCAGCTTCTGCTCGGACATCAGCTTCTCCATCGCCAGCTGCTCCTTCGCGCTCGCCAGGTCCTTTTCCGCTTGCGAGATCTGGCCGGTTTTCCGTTTGTTTTGCTCCTTTTCCGAGGCCAAGGCGGCGCGGAGCTCGGAGATCTCGTCTTTGAGCAGGTTGTCGGACAGGCTGGAGGAGGACACGGACGTCTGGAGCTCCTGTTTGACGCTGTCGGCCTCCCGGGTCAGAGTCTGGATCTGCAGCGTTTTGTCCTTCACTTCGGAGGAGAGTTTGTCCAGTTTGGTCTGGGCGGCTCGGAGATCCGCAGAGACTTTCTCGGCTCGCTCGGTTTCGGCGGAAACCTGGAACGTAAATAAAGTTTAAACGAAATTTCAGCTGCTCATTTTTACAGCGGAAACAAGAGACACTCCCAGGTCTTTACCCGGAACGACGGACCAGACGGAGAGACTTTAGAGGTTTTAATTACAGAAAATCATCAGCACAGGAAGAGATCGACTTGAAGACTGCGTTTCTGTTTTAGACCTGGTTTAGTCCTGGTCCAGTCCTGGTTTAGACCCGGTTTAGACCAGGTTTATTCCTGCTTCAGTCCTGCTTCTGTTCTGGTTCAGACCTGTGGTTTAGACCTGGTTTAGACCTGGTTCAGTCCCGATTCAGTCCCGGTTAAGTCCCGATTCAGTCCCGGTTTAGTCCCGGTTTAGTCCCGGTTAAGTCCCGGTTAAGTCCCGGTCCAGACCTTGTCCAGTCCCGGTCCCGCTCCAATCCCGGTCCAATCCAGTCCCGGTCCCGGTCCAGTCCAGGTCCAGTCCATGTCCAGTCCATGTCCAGTCCGGTCTAGTCCTTGTTTAGATCTGGTCCAGTCCTGTAGCAGTCCTGGTTTAGTTCTGGTTTAGTTCTGGTTCAGTCCTGGTTTAGTCTCGATTCAGTTCTATACCAGTCCTGGATTAGTCCTGAATTAGTCCCGGTCCAGTCCCAGTCTAGATCTGGTTCAGACCCGGTCCAGTCCCGGTCCAGTCCCGGTCCAGTCCTGGTCCAGTCCAGGTCCAGTCCCGGTCCAGTCCCGGTTCAGTCCCAGTCCCGGTCCAGTCCCGGTCCAGTCGCCTTTATTCTGGCTGCTCTTCTTGTTTTTATCTCTGATGTTACGACACGTCCGCTCGTCACATCAGTCAAACAGAGTCATTTACAGACGTCGTTTATCTCGTGTGAATCTGCTGCAAGTAAAACAGACGTGAGGCGGAAATTTACAAATCACCACACGTCTCCAGGTCGGACTTTACACTCTGAAAAACCCGGTCCTGGATGTTCTTTTTCTCTGGTTGTGACAGATCTTACCTTCTTCTCTGAGGTCTGCAGTTTGTTCTTGAGCTCCTTCACCTCCTCACGCAGCTCCTCACACTCCTTCTGCCTGGTCTTGTTCTTCTCCGTCAGCGCGGCGAGCTGCTCCTCCACCTTCTGATCCTGTCTCTGCTCTCGGGCCTGGACCTCCTGGCTGCGTCTCTTCTCTTCTCTGAGCGAGGCCTTCAGCTCGTCTCTGGCTCGTCTCTCCTCGTCCAGAGCGGCCTGGACTCGCTCTTTACTCTTCTTCTCTTCCTCCAGAGCTCTGGTCACGTCCCTCTGGTTCTTCTGGAGCTCGCTGAGGGAGGACTGGGCTTGTTCTCGAGCTTTCCTCTCCGCCTCCAGAGACGCCAGGGCCTCCACCCTCCCCACGGTCTGGTACTCCAGCGCGGCCAGAGCTTCCTCTCGGGCCTGCTTCTCCTTCTCCACGGCTGCGAGCGCCTGCTGGAAGAACGAGGGACGAGATAAACTTTCACAATCTCAAAGTGTTTTTTTTTATTTGATCTTATTTAATTTTTTTAAACAGTGCAGTGTTAAAAACTATAGTGTCAAACTAAAAACAGCTGATAGTCAAGGTCAGTTTAACACAATCAACCTGCCCAGAGACGGACGGACGAAAGAAAGAACGAAAGAAAAAACAAACGAATGAAATAACAAACGAAAGAAGGAACAAAGGAAAGAAAGAACGAACAAAACAAAGAACAAACGAAAGAATGAACGAACAAAAGAAAGAAAGAAGGAAAGAAAAAAATGAACAAAAGAACAAACGAAGGAAAGAAAGAACGAAAGAAAGAACGAACAAAAGAAAGAATGAACAAAAGAACAAATGAAAGAAAGGAAAGAAAAAATGAACGAAAGAACAAACGAAGGAAAGAAAGAACGAAAGAAAGAACGAACAAAACAAAGAACAAATGAAAGAAAGAAGGAAAGAAAAAAATGAACGAAAGAACAAACGAAGAAAAGAAAGAACAAAAGAAAGAAAGAAGGAAAGAAAAAAATTAACGAAAGAACAAACGAAGGAAAGAAAGAACGAACAAAAGAAAGAACAAATGAAAGAAAGAAGGAAAGAAAAAAATGAACGAAAGAACAAACGAAGAAAAGAAAGAACAAAAGAAAGAAGGAAAGAAAAAAATGAACGAAAGAACAAACGAAGAAAAGAAAGAACAAAAGAAAGAAGGAAAGAAAAAAATGAACGAAAGAACAAACGAAGGAAAGAAAGAACGAACAAAAGAAAGAACAAATGAAAGAAAGAAGGAAAGAAAAAAATGAACGAAAGAACAAACGAAGAAAAGAAAGAACAAAAGAAAGAATGAACGCACGAATGAAGGAAAGGAACGAGCGAACGAACGAACGAAAGAACAAACAAAAGAAAAAACAAACAAAAGAAGGAAAGAACGAAGGAAAGAAAAAGAACGAACGAACAAAAGAACGAAGGAAAGAAAGAACGAACAAACGAAAGAAAGAAGGAAAGAAAGAAAAAAATTGAACGAAAGAACAAATGAAGGAAAGAAAGAACAAAAGAAAGAAAAAGAATGAAAGAACGAATGAACAAAATTATGAAGGAAAGAATGAAAGAAAGAACGAACAAAACAAAGAACAAATGAAAGAAAGAATGAATGCAGGAAAGAAAGAAGGAGTGAACGAACGAAAGAACGAAGGAAAGAAAAAAATGAATGAAAAAACAAATGAAGAAAAGAAAGAACAAAAGAAAGAACAAACGCACGAACGAAGGAAAGAAAGAACAAAAAGAAAAACAACCAACCCAACAACCAAATCAACCAAACCAACAATAAATAAAAAAGTCTAGCAGAAAATCAAATGAGAAATATTTTCCTGAAGTTTGGCAGACGTCAAAAGTTGATGTCCGTTGTGATTTTGTCGAGGTGTAACAAAAATCACAATTTGGTTCGTCCCTCAGTTTTGAGATCACGATTCGGTTTATTTTTGGTACAGTTTGGGAACAAAATGCAAAACCATTTGTTTGTTGTTTATTTGTGTTAAACCAACTATTTGTTCTAACATTATACAAACAAGAAATTAAAATAAATGCAAAGTGCTGCTTGGTAAAACTAATAAGTTCAATAAAATATTCTCAAATAAACAAACAAATGTTTGAAATATTATTTTTTTTTAATTCCTTGTAAACAGTAAACAAAACTTTTCAAAAAGTTAAGTGCAGCACCAACAGTTACAGGATGAAGTTTTACTCAATCTTCAGATTTTTGGCCAGAAAAGTATAAAATATTTTGAATATTAAAGAGTCGAGTCTCTGTGGAGCTGCACATGTCGGTGAGGAACATAAACACACACAAACTGAACTCACTCATGCACAAACCTGCACCAAAACAAACGTCCAGAACTGAAAACAGATCGGCACATGAACCGTTACACCCCAACAGTATTTTAACTTAACAAAACAAGATTTATTATTTGGAGTGTTTCCCAATCAGGGGTTAGGGACGCCCCCAAAGAGTCACCCATGCAGTTCAGCTCCAGTCAAATGAAGCTTATCGAGGCAAATATTATAACAGCCAAAGAGCCGATCCGGAGCGAGGGTGTTCACGGTGCACACCCCGTCCCGCCCACAGCACGAGTGTGGCAAAGGCCAGGAGTTCAAGACGGGAATGTTTAGCAAGAATTTTGATTGATTTAGAGATAAAAAAAAGAGCAAAACAAAAACACCAAAATCATGTAGAGAGTGAATATAAATATTTAAGACCAAAATAACGAGTAGGGCTGGGTATCATTAAGGAGTTGCCGATATGATACATACCTCGATACACAGGCCACGATACGATACATATCTCGATACAGTGCACTTTCGATATGATATGATATATTTCAAATCGATTCAATACGGTTCAATAAAAATAAAGTGTAAATTGTGGCTGTGATACTAAAAGTCTTTGTTAAATCACTTCTTCTTGTGCAAAGTTCATATGAAACACAAACATTTTAATCATCAAAACAGTAAAAATATCAAATGTGTCGCATAAATGAGTTTCCTTTCACTCCACAAGCAACAAAACTGTAGCTCTGTAACAAAATAATTTAGTAAAACACACCTAAAAATACTCTTGGTGAAATATCGATACAGCAGCCCACGATATCGATACTGTATCATCACATTAAACGATACGATATATCAATATTCCGATATTTTTGCACAGCCCTACTAACGAGTCTGACAGCAGCGGTTACAGAGAGACGTAATAGTTTTTTGTTGAATTTTTTGTTGAAAGTGAACTGGAACCAGAGTCAGTGGAGCCGGAAACACGCCAACGCCCACGTCCTGTCCACTTATAGAAATACAGTCTATACCCGACCTGAGCATCGTCCAGCTCCAGGGCCACACACGGACTTTCAATCAACTCTGAACAACTCGTTTAAACTCATCTGGAATTACAAAACAAACATATTTTATCATTTTTACCTCATGCGTGGACTTAAGATGCACTGATTTTATTTTAGGAGTTTTTTTAATGACATTTTTTGTCCGGCAGCTTCACTTTTTCATTGCTTAGTCATAAAATAAACTCTTCCCAGTGTGAGCAGCTCGTCGAAACAAAGATATTTACTGCCTTTTATAAAGAAATACAATCCATATGAAGCAGAATTGAGTGAAGCATTTGGGCCTCGACAATATTTTGTGTTTCTCTCCTGGCCCCGTGGAAAAATAAACCGGTCGACGATCATGACAGATTTTCTCAAAGAGGAATCATCTCCACAACGTCGACGGAGGCGCAGAGATAACCCCAGTTCTCGTGTGAGGATCTGGCGCCCTCTAGTGCCGCACGTCTTACTGATATTTTATGCACATTTGCTGTTTTCCTAATGTTGTTTTTTTTAGTTAAACTGTGCTAATCTGGTGAAGCGGAGGCACTGAGCATGTCCGAGCAGCACATAATCCTGACGCTAATCCTGTCACTGGTAACCTGCGGCCTGGGGGGTTTACAGGCTCGTATTTATAGAGCAGAGGACCCGGGGGGGGTAAGGACATAAACATAAACCCCGTGCTCCTGTCCTAAACTCCATTCATGAGGCTGGTCTGGATTAGGGATGGACATTCGATGAAATTTCCTTAATCGATCATCGGAATCATTAACGTTTTTTTATTAAAATGATCATCATTATTATTACTATCTGCACTAATCTGCATCAATAAATTCAACTTTACGACATATAAACATAACGACTCTAGATCCACATCAGCTGTTTGACATTATAATGTGTTTAATTCAGTTTTGTTCAAATCTCACAGAAACAAAACTTAAAACCACATCACTAATTTACATAAACTAAGTGAAGATAAAACTCCAGCTCTTGTGTCGCTGATGTGGTTCAACTTGTGTTGGATTAAAAGACATGACTCAGGTGAATACAGGTCAGTGTGACCAGATTTGTGTTTGTCAAAACCAGGACAGCGTACGGGGGGAGGGGGGCGGGGCCTCGTCATCCACATTGAGCGACTCTCACCTGGAAAAACTTTTTCCCACTGGACACAGAAACATATGTGCTGCTTTATACGTTTGTTCGTTACAGACTGACCCACTGTTTGTGTCTCGCTCCTTCTGATGCAGAGACACATGTACACACCCCCGTCTGGTCTCCCTACGCTACACACAACAACCTACATTCGGTTTGTCGATTAAAATTAACGCAATCGATGAAATTCTTAATGATTAATTATCAATTAATCGATTAATCATGTCCATCCCTAGTCTGGATTTCAGCTCGTAAATATGCTCCAGAGTTTAAGATAATAACACTGGGGAACTGGAAAATGGAAAAATGCGCAGCTCTCTTCTCATGATTCACCAACATGTTCATTTCAACATTATTTATAGAACTAATAGAGGATAGAACAATAATAAAATATGCGGATGATTGTGTCATTGTGACCCTGCTCCACAAACATGAAAACCAACATGGACCAACTGTTGAGGACTTTGTAAAATGGTGTGACGCGTCGTATCTGCAACTAAATGTTTCCAAGACGAAGGATCTGATTATTGACTTTTGAAAAGCGAGCGCCTCAGTGTGACGTCACAGAGATAAAGGTTCAGTCAGTATCTTCTATCTTAAAATCTTAATATATATGTAAATAATATATATGTAAATATGAAGAGTCACCAGCGCCTTCACTGTCTGAGAAAGTTTTCCTTTCACCGTGTGGACAGAACCACGATGACACTGTTTTATAAAACGTTTATGGAATCAGTTTTAACGTTTTCATTGGTCTCATGTTTTGGGAGGGTCTCTGCTAAAAACAAAAACTCCCTGATTCAGTCGGTTAAATGGAGGAGTTTGGTGATTGTTCGTCCTCAGAGTCTCTGGACTCGAGACGCTTACAGACGACGTCCCAGAGGATTTTAAAAGACGTGAAACATCCACTAAACTCAGAGTTTCAGCTGCTTCTCTCTGGTCACAGGCTTTTAGTCCCAAGATCTAGAACAGGCATGTCCAAACTATGGCTTGTGGGCCAAATGCGGCCCTCAGACAAATTTTTCTTGGCCCTCAGGCTTCCAGGTGAATTGGCTCAAATTACATGGCATCAATTAGAAATTAGCTTTTTACTGCAGTTTTTCTGAAAATCTACTTTGATAAAGCTAATATTTAGTGTGTGTTTTTACAGATCTTAGCATGAATAAAGACTGACGGGTCATTCTAATTTGTTAAACATGCACATATTTCAATTATTCAATGTACTGAGCACCAGTCTACGGCCCTCGATCAGCCTTCTGCTCTGTCTGTGTTTAGATATGTGACTCTTAAAGAAAAAAGTTTGGACATCCCTGATCTAGAACAAATCGTTTTAAAAGGAGCTTCGTTCTGGCTGCTGTCGTACTTATGAATAAATTGTAATCTATTGATCTAAGATTGTGTGTTTTTAACATATTTAATATTTATTGTGATTTTAGCCAAACGTGATGGATGAATTTAGCTGATTGTTTATGGAACAAACTGTTCTGCACTGGAGCGTCTGTAACACTTTATTTTGTAATTGTGTTTTTATACGTGTTTTGTGGATGAATGAAATGTGAAATGTGGAACCTGCCTCTCAAATCTGCAAAGCAAATTTACCTACGAGTATGAAAGTGACCTAACCTAACCTTATTTTACTTTATTTTACTTCTGCGCCTGTAATGTCGTAGAATCATTTATCCATTTAGTTTGGGAATGCACTAATTTATCTCCTTGTCCTACTCCTTTTGGAAGAATGTTGCAAAAACTCTTTCTCAGATATTCCAAAAAAACAATACCATGCCTCCCAGAGATATTTTTAATGAATGTCAACATAATAAGTCTAATTTATGTTAAAACATTTATGGAAAGAAGCAGATTCTTATCTTAGCTGCAGTAAAGCGCCTCACAGTCTGCAGGTGAAGAGGCCACAGCTCGTGCACGTGCAAAGACCGATGTTGGACTTTATGGATGTTGTATTTTTAGAGCGAGGGGCTTCACGAATCCATGAAGCCAAACTTAAAAATCAAACAACTGTGGAAGGATCTGACAATAACTTTAAAATCTCGTCCAACAAGCTAAGGCTGTGTAAATATGCAGACCTCTGATTATCTCTTTTTCTGTTTGTTTTTTGACTCCTGATGACAAGGACGACTGTAATAATCATAATAATATTGTTGTTATTACTGTTAGTGTTGTTCTTTTCACTGTTGCCATTATTCAGGGTTCTCACTCTTTCAGTGAAAATGTCAAAACTTTTCCATGACTTTTTCATGACCTAAAGTGAATTTTCCCTGACTACATGTGTAGAACTGATCAGACTTTTAGGGCTAAATCTGAAATGTGAACTCTTTCCACTCACTTTATGGTTTGATTATAGTTTTTAAACATTCTAAATCCTGTCAGTGCGTTTATTGTCGTCTCTTTTAAACAAAAGGTGCAGACGCTCAGAAATAATCAGAATAGTCTCATTCGACTCGACCGCCGGACTGGGCTGCGTTCGACTCGGCATTTGGTTATTCATCAAAATATATTCATGGACCCGACGTTTAATTGAAACCCGACTATTATCTGGTATTTTAGGGTAAGTCCAGTGTGGGAGTGGTACCTGCAGCGGCTCCGTAGTGCCTTGCTCGTGGGCAGAGCTGTGGCCGTGCGCCCTCTGCTCTAGCGCCCTCTGCAGTTGGGACACCTGCTTCTCCAGAGAGGAAACCTGGAGGCTCTTGTCCTGCAGCTGCGTCAGGAGGGAGGTTCTGTCCTCACACGGGCCGCTGCTTTCACCTGCAACACAACAAAAAACAAACACTTCTATTTTTATTTTATTTTAATCTAAAACAACAAAACTGACCAGCCCTCCCCCCCAAACACACAAACAATAATTACTTAATTAAATTAAATAAAACAAAAATAATGTGGTAGTGCAGCATAAACCACATTGATAGGATTCCTTATATTTATATTTTGGGCCAATTTATAATTTAATTTCCCTTTATCTTTCTCTCTCTATCACTCTAACTAATATCTCACCATCATCATTTCCTTTTATCATCTTTTACTTTTTACTGCAAACTTAAAGCATCAATTAAGACATTTTCTTTTTTTAAATAAATAAGTAAACAAAAAAAGAAAAAGAAAGAAAGAAAGGAATAAAGAAAGAAAAGTAAAGAAAGAAAAAAAAAGAAAGAAAGGAAAGGAATGAAAGAAAAATGAAGAAATAAAGAAAAGAAAAGAAAAAAATCATAGTGTACCAGTAGTGTTGGCCCCATTGGAAAAAAAAGAATATTTTTTTTTATGATCAGGTTTTTTGAGTGTCCCAAAAAAACCCGCTCATCCCCGGGACACTGATGAACTGTAAACAAACTCAGTGATGGAACAGAGTCTCCGAGGAGCCAGAGACCAAGACTCCAGACGCAGGCTCGGCTCCTCACGACACGCGCACGCGCACGCGCACGCGCACGCCACGCGCACGCACGCACACGCACACGCACACGCACACGCACACGCACACGCACACGCACACGCACACACACACACACACACAGTTTGTCCGTTAAACATGAACGTGATCAACGAAATTCTCCACGACTAGGGGTGTGCAAAAATATCGGATCATTTAATGTGATGATTCAGTATCGATATCATGGGCTGCTGTATCGATATATCACCAAGACTATTTTTTGGTTTATTTTACTAAATTATTTTGTCACGGCACTACAGTTTTGTTGTTTGTTCAGAGGAAGGAAACTCGTTTATGCGACACATTTTCACTGTTTTGACGATTAAAATGTTTGTGTTTCATTATCAGTTTGTACAAGAAGTGGTTTAACAAAGACTTTTAGTTTCACAGACATTTTTTACTGAGCTGTATTGAATCGATTTGAAACATATCGTATCGAACTGAAAGTGCACTGTATCGTGATATGTATCGTATCGGCAACTTCGTAATGATACCAGCCCTATTCACGATCAATTATCGATTAGTCGACTGATCCTGCCCATCCCTAGTGAGTATATCTCTAAAATGTTTAATATTAGTTTTGTGGAAATGATGTGAGGTCATTTCTGTTCAGCTGACGGCAGCGGCTTCAGCAAAACTCCACAAAACTAGTGAAGAAAAACAATATGAGGCTGTGGAAAACTCTCTTTTATTGTATAAAATATGAATCAAAAGCGAGTTACTAAAGACTGACACAGACTTTTTGAAACTTTTGACTCTGTTTTGTGTCGTTTTAGAGCATTCTGGAGCTTCCTGGGGACGGGCTGTAACCTGATTTGACCAATAAAAGAATCATTAATATCTCCAAAACTAAAGCAGCACAAACGAAACACAAATGACTGACAGAGTTTTTGTGTTTGATGGGGCCAACTTCATGCAGGTACAGAAGTTAGTTTGCATCTGTAATGGGTCATAGAAGGTTTTAATTCAACCTTTTACGTTTTAAATCCAAAAAATATGATGAAATTTCACAGTCGTGCAAAGAAAACGTACACTGATCCCAAAAAACACTGTTCCAGGCTTCATATACTGAACAAAAAGCCCAAACTGTGTTCATACCTGCGTATTTTGAGACGTGCTGCTCCAGACGCTCGAAGGCGCCGTGGCTCCGGTCGCTCATGGCCGCGCTCAGGTAAGAGTCAGGGTAACTCTCCATCTCCGCCAACTCCGCAGAGAACGGGTCCTACGAGAAAAATCAGAAAGGAATGAAGAACATCCATAAATACTGACGCCACCTCGAGACTTTAATGTCATTTGAAAGAGTCTAGTTTATCTCTTTGCCCCATGAAGACGACATTTGACGACCCCTTTGTTTCCTTAACGACGTGTTTTGACTCCTCCGCTGTTTCACTAAAGACGTGATTTAACGAACATTAGAAACGACTCGGTTTTTCACATGTAAATAGAGACTGTGATAGGTGGAGCCACTATAACCCACACTAGACTGACCAATCGGATTCAAGGATACTTTTCGCAGATTTTTTCCAAAGTTAATTGAAGTAGTGACGATTGTAGCTTCTGGAAAATACAATATAAAACACGAGCAATGGAAAGATCGCGGCGCTGCGGTGCACAGTTTTAGAAATAATGAGGAGCGGACGTATTTTATGGATAAGTTTCGAGAAAGTGACTTTTTTTTTTCAATTATTAGGCCCGAGCCCCGACAGGGCGTAGGGCCTATTGCTTCCGCTCAGCGGAGCGAATGGGAGCGACGTGCGCATGTCCGAATGCGACAAGACGACATGCAACTATGTCCACGGTCGCCCCCGCACGAACAGCAGTATCCCAGTAACCCACGCCCAAGGCCTGCTCATATTTACTACTGCTAAAATGAATGGAAGTCAATGGAAGGCGATGGGTGACCTCGACGAGATGGCGAATGACGAGCGCCTCAGTGCCCGTCACTCACCAATGACCCCACGGTGACGTGGGGAAGGTCGAGAGCTTTCAAAAACGTATAATATGTTGTTCTAATGTTTTCGGATATATTGTTTTTGCTCGATTATTATTATTTTATTTTATTTTATTATTCTTCTGCTCTTTAAACCCTAATTTGACCCCTAAACACGTTCAAAAACTCACCAAACTTTGCCCAAAATTCAGAAGTGGCGAAAAATTCGATAAATATAGGTTTCGTGCACGGGCATAAAAAAATGGCGACACAGCGCCACCTCGAAAAGTCAAAATACATTGCGCCTATGGGAGACGTCCCGACGTCAACTTTGTCGTAGAGCCAAGAAATTCGGTACACACATTCGTCATCTCAAGACAAACAAAAAATGTTATTATGGCCACGCCCCCTGACAAACCAGAAGGCAGCCATCTTGGATTGAAGTTTGAGTCCGCATTTTCGCTGATGTTGCGTTTGAACGAACTCCTCTGAAGGCGCTTCACCCACAGGGCTGAAATCACCGTACATCATCTAGACAAGTGGTAAAGTTACTGATTTTTGACCACGGTTTACGTGCGGCGAAGCCGCAAAATTTGGTCATTTTGCCATTTAGACATTACTGTGCACATACTTAGTCCGATCGTGCTGAAATTTGAATCACTAATGTGTGATCTCAGCCTGAATATAATACACAATAAAACATATGAAAGTGAACACTTAGCGCCCCTCGTATACATGAAATGTCAACATTGTCGGATCTGCACCAAATTTGGCAATTAAATTCTATATATGATTCGAGTAAAAAGTATATTATGGGTTAAAATTTTACTGTTGGCCAAGGGCGCAAAGACTCAACAATTTTCGCTATGGAGATGTCCCGGTCAACTTTGTTAGAGCCATGAAAATCGGTACACACATTCATCATTGAAGACAAACAAAAATTTATTATGCCACGCCCCCTGACAAACCAGAAGGCGGCCACTTGATTGAATTTCAGTCCGCATTTTCGCTGACGTTGCATTTGAACGAACTCCTCTGAAGGCGCTTCACCCACAGGGCTGAAATCACCGTACATCATCTAGACAATGAACACTAAAGTTAGCTGATTTTTTTTGATAACTGTCACGGTTTACGCGCGGCGAAGCCACAATTTGATCAAAATTTTGCCTAATTTCAAGGTGACATTATTTGCTCCTGTTCGCGCTTAGTCCGCGTGTTGAAATTTGAATCACTAATGTGTGATCTCAGTCTGAATATATACACTATAAAACATAGAAAAAACACTATAGCGCCCCCTACATAGACATGAAATCAACATTTCGGATTGATGGAATTATTCTATTAAGATAAGAAAACATATATTACTGACATGGGAATTTTTCAAATTGGCCAGTTGCAAAGAACATCTTAATTTTGCTGTTTTTTAATGCTGTTATTTTTTTTTTTTTCAATTATTTGTTTATTCATTTTCCAAGACAATAATTACACTTACACATATGTAAATATTGTTTAAGGTTCAAACATTGTCTTAAACTTAATCTTCCAAATAAAATACAGATTTTTACTTTTATATTGAAAAAAGAAAAAAAATCAAACTCAATTTGGTAGCGAACAGAACATTGGGGAAATGAGCACTTAAAATCCAAACGTATCATTTTAACAAAACTCAGCCAACTCTTCCATATCTTTTCAAATTTCTGTTTCTAATCTCAGAGCATAAGCATAATTTCTCTATAACATAAATATTGTGAATTACGTTAATCCAGTTTCTTTTGTTGGTGCTTCATTTCCTTGTGATACCTTTTTTTTGCTGCTAACATCATGATTTTAAAAATCTTAAGATTTATTTTATTTTTACAATTTGCATCTAATTTGCCAAAATATAAGAGAAAGTGACTTTTATAGATTCCAAAGTGATGATGAAGTTGATTATAAAGTGAAAAACAGCGATAACGACAGAATTTCAGAGAGTGAAACTTACGAAGGTGAAAATGTGGGTGATGAGTCTGTGTGGAGTCCTGCGATATCCAAAGAAACTATCGAGGACTTTTACTCGATTATGAACCAAAACTGCCCTGAAATCTGGATGTTGCTCAGGCGAGTCCTTTGAAATATTTCACTCTTTTTTCCAAGATGTGATGTTTGACAGAATTTCTACAGAAACAAACACTTACGCAGAGCTCTGTACACGAGAAAGTAACCAAGACAACAAATACTGGACTCCCACTGACGAGGAAGACTTTTATTATTATATTATTATATTATAATAAGCTAAATGAGTTGAATAAGTTAAATGTAAAAAACACACACAGGCGAACAGCAGGTAAAAACAGGTGAACACTTGGCTTTACTGTATCTGGTGATATGAAATCTGTTTAAATACTTTGACAAATATATATTTTTACATTTTTTTATGAATATAGTTCTCAGAACTTGCAGATATCAGATGCTGAATGTAGTTTTTTTTGTTTTCGATTTTGCACCTGACCAGGTAAACTCTCATTTTCAGTGAGCTGTTATAAACCTGTAAATGAGTTGAATCACATTTAAACATCCAGAAATGAAGAGTTCAGAGTCTAAAGTTTCCAGAGATACAAATATGTCTGTTTCAATAAAGTTCATGAGTGTGAAAATCATTTATAATCACTCATGGAAGTGTGTTTTCTTTTATGTTTTTATGCTCTCTGGGCAGCTCTAGTCACATATGTGTGGGCTGTTCCTCGTTGATTTTAGATCTTCTTTTTACATACAATGTTTCTATCAAAGCTGTGTTTAGACTTAGACAAACTTTATTGATCCAAAAGTAAAATTATTTGGACAGTGTTGGGAGTAATGTGTAAAAGTAGTGAGTTCCTGTGCTGCGTGGCTTTTTGTTGTAACCAAACTAACTTTTGTCCAGTCGACAAATTTTCTCCTCGACATGGATTCTACCTGCACGACTGAGGGATTCTTCACACTTTACTTTCTATTCTTAAAGGAAAAAAACAATGTCAGAACCATAGCAGAGAGATATGTGAAGTGAAAGAAACCAAGCACGGAAAAAAAAAAGCAAATTGTACTTTTGTGATTTGTAACTGTCATGTCTATTGAATTGTCAATAAAAATTTGAATTGAAAAAAAAAATTCAATTAAATCAAGTTAGTAAAGACTGATAGACTTTTTGAAACTTTTTGCAGCACAAACGAAACACAAACAACTGACTCCATTTTGTGTCGTTTTTGAGCATTTTGAAGTTTCCTGGAGCCGCTGACCTCAGTTTGACCTGTAAAAGAATCATTAATAACAGCACAAACGGAGCACAAACGATTGACAGTTTTTGAGTAGGTTTACGTTTGATGGGGCCAACTTCACGCACATAGTTAGTTTGCATCTGAAGGTTTTAATTCAACCTTTTACGCCTTAAAACTGTTTGTATTGTCAAAAAATATGATGAAATTTCACAGTTGCGCAAAGAAAACGTGCACTGATCCCAGACAAAAAATATTATAATATTTAAATTTTTTGAACTTTATCTTTTATTATTACTATTACTATTGCTATTATTATTAATCTATTTTATTTTATTTTTATTTATTTATTTATTTTTGTTTGTTTGTTTCTTGTTTTGTTTTTTCTTGGGGTTATTTCTGGAAAAAATTGCATAAATATAATGTTTGATATACATACTCTGTAATGTGCTATTTTAATTAATTTATTTATTTTTATTTATTTATTTCGGTCACATTACACATGACATTAATATCTGACATATTTTTCTATAGAAATTTATAAATAAAATTGTAAAAAAAAAAAAAAAAAAGCCAAAACAGTGATTATCGTGAGCGGCCTCGTCTCCCGTGAGCTTTTATTTAACAACACCCGTGAGTTTGACTTATCGTTCGCTCGTCCACGCTCTCCGGTTTCTCACGCCGCTTCGTCATTTCCCCACGCACCTCCACGCGCCTCCACCCCCCCACACAAAAGCACTTAAAAAAAGGTGTAGTTACCATGGCGCCGCGGTCCTGGTAGTGGCCCTCTCTGGACATCTTCTGGCTCAGGTTCTTGAAGATCTCCAGACGTTTCTCGGCTCGCTCCTCCAGGATCTCCCTCTCCCGTGCCAGGCGCTCGCTAAAGCGTCACCACGGTTACATAAGGAATGAGACCGCACGGCGTAATCCCCCGCTAATCCCCCATAATCCACTCAAATCCCATGGACGGCAGACCTCGATGTATTTTACACACTTCACATGTTTCTCTTATGGACATATTACCACGGCTGTCACTTTGCATTACGCTTTTGTTTGAGGTTTTCTATTTTGTAAAAGGGGAAGATAATTAAACAATAACCCGTAATTAAGACCTACTGTGTCTGTGTCTGCTCCACAGTTATCATCTATGACACCGTGGATCATTTTGTTATAATTTGCACATTTACAGCAATATTATTTAGTAATTGGTCCAAAGTTTAAAAGAAAAACTGGATAAAAAAAAAAACATACAAAGCACCCAAATGAGTCCATAAAGTTCAATCAGAAGTGTGGAGTTTCTGAGCACTGTAAAAAAGCTTGGCCAAAATGTAAGAATCAAACACTTAAATCTATCAGAAAATGATTTAAAAATAGTGAAATGATGTGTCCATGCAGCAAGATCATTTTACTTGACAAGTTCTCTAAAATAAACAACCTCTAGATGAGAATGAAGCGTCTCTGAAATAGTAAGTAGATCATAAATCTGGAAACAAGATGAATAACCTGATATAAGTTTTAAAATCTTGGCCAGATCAGATTAAGTTTGCAGTGTGACCAGTGGATCCTCAGAGCAAAGGTGGAACTGCATGAGCTCCTCTGAGGATTGGTCAAAGTCTTTATGATGAAGTTTTCAGACTCGTCCAGGCGCTGCACAAATGTGAACATTAAATGTTTAAGACGGGGTATTAAACTCACAGACGACAAAATTAAAAACTGGGACCAAGTCGTGGGCCAAACTAAATATTTAGTGAAAAATTTCAACAACATCTGCTGTTTTCCTCTTCTTTGGAAATATGTAATGTTAAACCTTTTCTTATTCAAAAAAATGTTTAATAGTTTTGCTTAAACATTGAATCCAGAAAAAGCAAAATATAAAATAATAACAACATTTTAAATAAATAATGTCTCTATAGTCGAACTGTGTGCGGCAGCAGCTCTGATACAGATTTGAAATGATCTCGTGGGCCAAATATAATTATATTGTGGGCCTGAGTTTGACACGTTTGGTCTGAGCAGTGCCTCACACGTACAGGGAACACGAGCGTCCAGTGACGCCTGGGACCTGCAGCAGAAGCCTCGAGTGAACAGAGGAGCACAACAGGCTCTGAACAGAAAACATTGAACATAATGAGAACAGAGGAAACTATATTTAAAAGTAAAGTTTAAATACGGTCTCTGGACGTCTCTGTCATCTGTAATATTTGTACTAAAAAGACACCGTGACTCTGATGAATGTTACGCTGCTGCTCAGCGCCGCGTCTGAATTCAGTGTCAACCATGGATCTAAATAAAAACTGAACCAAGGAGAGTTTATCGCTGCTTCGTTTTTCTCGTCATGAAGTTCAACAACGACTTTCTAAGACGCGAGAGTAAAGACGTCGCTGTGAAAGCCGACGACATGTTTGTCCACAAAACTGCAAAGATTTTTCAGGTGAGTCCTTCTTAATAGCAAAACCTCCAGGACAAATAAACCAGAGAGAATAAAATATCCAAATTAAAAAAGGCACCAAGACTGTGTTTTGATTGGCATTTTAAAAAAAATAAACTTTAAATTAAATATTGGAAATAGAGCTCGACGTGTTTTTTTGTTTGACACTAAAACATAAAAATGAAATAACCTGTTTACCTATTTTATTGTTTTTCGTTCTTAATTGAAATTTAAAAGAACAAATGGCACATCAGACTCATCCTCGCTCCCTCAAACCTCGAGTCAGAACCAAACGCACTCGTCCAATCAGAAGAGTTTATTCCAGTGACGCGTGTGAATCGAGGCGGCTCATTGGTCACCCGTCATTTTGAACCAAATTTGCCTCGTCACAGATTTCACTGACACTGATATTTCTTTGCTGGTGAACGTTTCTCTTTGTTCTGATGTGGACAGATCAGTCACAGTCGGTCGATCGCACTCATCTGAAGTCGGGGAGATTCACCGGGACCAGACGGAGACGGGGGGTCGTGAAAACACACATTTTCTGGACACTTAAGCCTCAAATGCAGGACAATGTGGGATTAGTCGAACATGAACAACAGAAATAATGAAGGACACTGGTCACACGGGGAAAAAGTCTATTTTATATCATCTGTACGTCTCCTTTAATAAACAACTTTTAGGGTGGAAACGTTTAAAGCTGCTGTCGGTCGGTTTAGTGTTTGTATTTCATGTTTTAGAATTAAAATGACGCCTGTGGAAATAAACGCGTAACAGCAAAGAAGGTCATTGTTTTCTTCCAAACTGACTCCAGAAATGATCACAACGACTGACAGGAGTGTGGAATAAAACTGAACAGGAGAACACTTACTCCCCGTCCTTTAAGCAACAATTTTGGAAAAGGAAATTTCTGTGCTCAGAGAAAGGAGTGTTCCTCTGTGTTTTTAAAGTGCAAATGTTCAACATTTCTTGCATATGGTCTCGTATATAGAGCATGAGATCATACCAAATCTGTATTGGAGCTGCCCACCGCACACAGCTCGACTGTACACACATTATTTATTTATTGTATATTATACTTGTTCTAGATTCATTGTTTAAGCAAAACTATTATTAAATATTTATTTGAATAAGAAAAAGTTTAACATTACAGATCTCGAAAGAAGAGAAAACATGCAGCTGTTGTTGAAATTTTTCAATAAATATTTAGTTTGGGCCACGACTTAGTCCCAGTTTTTCAATTTGGCCTCTGTGAATCTGAGTGACGGGTGTCAAACCCCTCGTCTAGAGCATCGTTTCCAAAAGTGTGGATGGGTTACGAGAGATTTTATTAGGTCGCCTTTGTCATGATCTGCAATGTACAGTTGTGTCTGTACGTCTGATCTGCTGCTGCTGCTGCTGCTTGCTCAGGCCCAACTATCTCAGCAGAAATGTTCAAATGTTAAGACATGTTTTGTATAATTTCTAATCTTTTTGTCATTATTTTATTGACTACTTTGTTCCATTTTGCTGGTTCAATTGAATGTTGAAAAGAAAAATAAATGTTCTATATTTAATGTCCAAATAAGAGACTTCTGGATCCTTTTATTTCTGCTTCAGTGTTTTTCATTGTTTCAACCTTGAGTCATACTCACTGTTCAGAGACACAATCACTCAGTCAGCAATAAAATATCCTCATTAATGTTCAATAATGCAAAAATCCACCTTTACTTTGTGATTTACAAATAATGTCTGTTGATGTGGGTCAATAAACATTATTTGTAAACTCGTAAAAGTTTGGGAAACTCTGGTCTAAAGCTGCAACGATTTATCAGAATCATTGAGAATAATCTTTTTAACTATGGACCAAATGAGCTTTGTGTCTGAAATAAATCAAATAAATAAATGGCGTGTCTTACTCGTAGTCCTTCTGCATCTCTGAGAAGATCTGGGAGAACTCTCTGCTGATCTCGTCCCTGACCCTGGCCTCCAGCAGCAGGTTCTCAGCCACTTCCTGCTTCAGCTGCACCTGCAAATGCCCCAACAGCGCCACCTGGCTCTGGAGCAGCGGCAGCACAGGTCACTCTTAAATCCTCCCACACGCACTCAGGATAAGAACTGAAGTGTCACCTGGTAGGTCTTTTTAGAGATGAGGATCTTCTCGTCCTCGGTGGTTTCCTCCAGACTGCTGCAGTGTGTGACGTCCATCAGACTGTCCTCGCACTCGTCTGCCTCGTCCTCCTGAGGACAGACAAGAAGAAGGAGGTTTATTAAAGAGGAACCAGGCAAGAATCACCAGGACCTGTTCTCATCGCTGGAACAAACAACAACACGCTACTGAGACACAGTGAAAGGAAACTGTTGAGGTCGTCGCAGCTGATGGTCACAGCTTCTGTCTTTGGCTGTTCACTGCTCCACTAAAGCACAAGTCAAATATGATCTCATTCCTGTGATATTTAGTTGTAATTAGTGCTGGGCAAAAAACATATCTCGATTATATTTTTCTATATCTCAATATCTGTACAGGAAAAATAACCCCCAAAAACTCCTGCAAAAACAAATCTGCCAAACTCTTCAAGGTCTTTTTTTATTGAAGTGCAAGAGGTCGTCAGTTCATGTAGAAACAAAAAGCTTCTGCCACATTTAAGATTACAAAAAATCCCTGATTACATAAATAATAATTTAACTGTAAAATAAAAGAAATAAAACATATTTCCTTCTTTTCATTCATAAATAAAACAACTCAGCTCAAGTTCATCTTTGCAGTAACTGTACAATAACCATGAGCTCCTTCAGCAGAGGAAGTTCAGGAGGTTCATTATTTTAACAGACACATGTTCCTCACCAGTGTCAGGATCTGAGGTTTAATCCCACAATCCACTGCAGATCAAACCCAACGATTCCAAACACTGTTGTACAAGTGACACTGCAGCAGATTATTCATTAAAATCTTCTGTATAAATAAATTTCACATGACTAAACTTTACAAAAATAAACATAACGACTCTAGAGCCACATCAGCTGTTTGACATGATCATGTGTTTAATGCAGATTTGACACGTGTGTTTATGTTTAATAGAAACTAAACTGAAAATCACATTTGCATAAACAGTTCGCTCCTTGTATCGATATATTTAAAATATCGAGATATCGCCCACCCCTAGTTTTTCAATTCACAAACTGTGACTTGAAAGCAGCTCTGTGCTTCAACAAAGACTTTTCCCACTCACTCCTGTTGGTCAGCATCATCTGTGTTCTGAGGTGGAATTATCTAGTTATAATGAAGCAAAAGGAAAGTTTAATTGAATCGTGATGAAATCTAAATCTAGAGATTGTGGAGATTTTATCTAAATCTAACTGAACCTTTATTTATACAGCTCCTTTAATAAAACATACCATGTACAAGCAAACAATAAAAGAAAGCACATGCTGATGATGTGAAGTATCAGACACCTGTACGTCCTCCAGGCTGGTGTCCCACGCGCTGACGGAGCTCCTCCTCTTCCTCCTCTTGGGCTGCTCCTCAGCGTCCAGCAGAAAGGACACTTCAGTGGAGGAACGCTCCGGAAGCAGCTGCTGGTTTTTGGAGTTCAACACAACCACCTGAAACAGAACAGGTCAGTTTAAATAAAAGAGGCGACGTCTGTTTATGCACGAGCTCAAATGAGACTTAAATGTCCATCTGATGTAAAATAACTCTTTTCACATTCTAGCTTCTGCACATAAACAAGCACAGTTTGGGGGGACACAGAAGCAAACTTGGACAAACTTGAATCCTGTAATAATGTTCGATCAGATGAGGAGGCCATAATGTGAACAGGCTCCACTGAACATCAGCGGTCGTAATGACTGAGGCGTCATCAACATTTTGTTCTCATGCAGAAACGTTGAGACGCAGACGACTCATGAGAATAAAACGATGCCCTGAGTCTGTTGTTAGTATCAGTGTGATATCGTAGGACGACGTAACGTTTGTCAAACTAAAAGAGGTAGAACAAGGAGATGATGCAGATTGAAACGATATGTGGGATCATCTTCAAAAATAAACGCTGCAGTTTGTTTTTAGTTCTCTTCAGCGGTTTTACTCGCGGTAAACTTACAGATGCAGGATCGTCATCACTGGACCCTGGTCTCGTGGGAACAACATCCTTCTCAAAAGTGTCGCTTCTGCTTCGTTGTAAGTCCAGTTTTAAAACACCCGGAGTTCTCGAAGCGTCTTCAGTGAAGAATCGCTCACAAACAAAAATATTCTTGGGGACCTGTTTGTCTGTGTTCCCAGAAATAAACTCCAGACACTGAGCACATCTTGATTCTTCTGTCGACATGAGAAATAATTTGGACTTGACGTCGCAGCCAAATACACACTTTCTCCACGAGGACATGTTACAAAAAGTATGTTTGAAGAGAAAAATAAAGATAAATAACACAGAACAGCAGACATGTACGGTGCAGACGCAGGACGGTGTGAGTGGGTGGAGGCGGTGGAGGCGAAGCGTTTTCTGCTACATCAAACGTGTCATATGTGAATCTGCCGCGTCGTCATTGTAGCAGCTTTAGTTCGTTGTCAGGTGGGAGGGCGACAGAAATACACTGCAATTTGTTTTAAAAAATGCAGAATCAATCTAAAAAAACACTTGGGCGAAAAATCCAAGGCCCACGCATCACTCTGAGAAGGTAGAAAGATCTGAAAAGTTGATTTTGCAGGAGACGGGCCCTTTAAGAGTTCATGTTTAAGTGAGCGACAGAGTGAGCGGTGCATCCTGTTACCGTGTGTGTGTGTGTGTGTGTGTGTACCTTCTGAGCTACGGCGGAGAACTTGAGCACGTTGAGGGTCTCGTCGTACACGGAGGCGCACTGGTTGATGTTGACGATCATGCAGGCTCGGCCCCGCCCACACAGGAAGCTCTGGAGGTAGTGCGTCAGCTTACTCTCCCGGAACGGAACGTGCTGGAGCAGTCTGGACAGTACGGGCACACACACATTACACACACGTCACACACACGTCACACACACACACACACGTCACACACACACGTCACACACACACGTCACACACACACACACACGTCACACACACACGTCACACACACACGTCACACACACTCAGGGCGCTTTGGGGCTCTTTAGTGTAAATAGGAAAACAAAGGGCGACTTTAACACATTAAGTGAACAACCTGCGTGTTAAAAAGGACTTGTATTTTTGGTCTTCTACATGGAGACTGTCACTGCCTGCAATGACCAATCAGAAATTTGGCCCCCTTACGTGGCCCCATCTTGCAGGGCTGGGACCAGGTATTGAGGTTCAGTGTTTTTTCTGAACTGCGCGCAGAGAAACTTCGAGGAGTGTGCGCTCAATTTATAACTAATGTATATTAAGTTTGGGTTCGGTCAAGCAGTAACGGAGGGAAACAGGGTCAGATTTTTGACATTCAAATGTCTCTTATTCAGAAACTAGAGGAACTATTGAAATAAGTAAAGTATCAGAATGTAGGAAAGAGTTACACTCCAACAGGGTCAAGTTAAACCTGTGATATTCTTTCAAGTTCAAGACAAAAAATTTAAAAACTCATGTCGGTAACAGAGGGAATGAAATATGCAGCACTTTTTGGTCAATAAATCCAAACAGTGATAACTCTTGGTTCTCACTTCCATATCCTTAACAAACTGGTTTGAATATTTGCTTCATATAGTTTTCTACCATATGGTACAAGATTAGGTTGAAAAACCTCTGACTTTTTGACTCATGAGATTTTTTATTAAGAAAGTTCATGGTAACGGAGGGAAAAGTAACGGAGGGAAAATTGTACAAACAAGTAGAAGGTGCAGGATTTTACATCATTTGTCACTTTTTTCTTCTGAAAACTTTAATATTACTTCAAAATGAAAGGAAACTATTCATATAAAATATGTCAGTCCTTCCAAGAACGTTTTTATCATTTTAAATACTTTTTTTTTTTAAATCATGTCCCTTCATCAACAGTTCAAAGATGGAATAACACAAGATATGATGAAATACAAACATTTATTTACATGATTTTCAGGTCTTTGAAATTTGGGAAATAATTTTTGTTCCATGTTTCATACATGGTCTGTTTAAAACATATGGAACTTTAGAACCAAAAATGGTACAGAAAAAAGGTCAACAGTTTGATAAACTAGAGTACATATGTATCTGTTCAATACATTTTTATATCAGATGCATTAACTTGATTTTTTGGACTTGTTGTTTACTTCTGCTTGACCGGGCCTGTTTGTTACTTATGTTTAGAGTTGTTTAATATATCCATGTGTTTTATTATGTATACTTGTATAGTTAAATAATACACATGTTTTATGCCTTGTTTTCCATAGAACCACACACACTTACATCATTTTCTGTTCATAGTGGATACTCAATAAATCACACTTATTCAAGACATCTGGCTGATCCTTCCAGGAGCACCCTGCAGCGGGTTAATACAGACAGCACCCCTTAGTATATTTTACACCGCGTGTTTACAAGACGCGCCCCCACAGGTACGACGGCCAGCTGCACTGATGCGCCGCACATCTTCAAACTTTTTTTGGTAGCGTTTGCTCATGCGTCCAACATTTTGTCATAAACATACAGACAGAAGACCCCCAGCATGAGGACAGTTTGTACGTACTTGGCCTGTTGGTTGTGTCTCAGAGCACTGATGCATTTGCCCAGGATGAGGAGGGAGGAATTTATGTTTCCGGCCTCTTTCAGACGCTCTCCTTTGTTCTGGGTTTTGGCGCATCTCTCCGATCCGGCCAAATCACACAAACAGAGCCTGGACAAAAGGACAGACAACAACACTCCGGCTCGTTATATTCACCGAGAGACCGGTGGGGCAGTTAAACATGTTCTACCTGATTTATACTGTCTTGAAAATATGAAAAACATTGACTGTATATAAATGGACATAGCTAAATACTCTTATATGCAAGTTTGACTCTTGTACAAATAATGTCAAGTTGTTATTCTTTAAATCATATTGTACACCGTTGTACACAGTCCACCTCTGGATTAATTACAAAAAAGCCAGTTTGTAAAGACTACAGGTGACCTACGACGATGCTCTGCAGGTGTGGGACTGAGATGTTTGTTATTCTGCAGGCTGAACTAAGAACTTTAATGTACAGTTTTCTTTGCAGACTGAAATGGCCACATTGACATGATGTAAATGGAAATAACAATTCTGAATAGAAAACTTGTTAAAAAGGTTCTGACTGGACAGAGACACTAATGGATTTACGTCTTTGGGAAGAAAACACACACTTCAGCTGCTCCCGGCTATTCTGTCATCTCAACACAACGAGCATGGGCTAAACCACCGGAATTATTTTTAAAAAGAATAAACATTTACATGATTAAGGAATAAATTAATTTGTCTTTAAAGCCAGTCACTTACTTCAGAATTAAATTTAATTCTGAATAATAATTTTCATTAGGTATTAAGTGTTTACAGGGTCTTTTTAAAAGCGGAATTAATTTTTATTCAGAATTAAATTATTTTTATTCAGAAATTAAGCTCTCATGTAAACATGGCAAGTGAAATAATAATGTCACTCGTAAATATGGGAGTCAGTAGTCAGTCAGCAATATCTGTCCAACAGGTGGAGACACCGGTATGTCTGTCTTTTAAAAACATAAATGTTTATCGTGCAAACAGCACGCTCCTTTGTTCTCTGACAAACGCTTTATAATTCAGTCAAAACGAGACCGCTGTGTGCCGTCTGCATCTAATTATAATATATTTTTATCATCTGAAAACAAGAAAGTAAGGCTCTTTTAGCATTCCCATGACGGCAAACTCCGCTCTGGTCCCAGGAAAAAGTAAAAAGCTCTTGCATAAAGTTAAGTGAGCAATAACGTTGGACCACTGAAAAGTCTAGTTCTGTGTTTCACGTTTTTAAGACAGTAAAAATCTGCCATTTTTTGTGTTCAGTTATTACACATTTGCATTGTTTCTGAAGTAGTGGATTAAAGAGAAAATGTAAAGCACTGACTCGCTGATGGTGGAGACTCTCGGCGTCCCGACATCTTCAATCCTCAGAATCCGAATGGAGAAAATACTGTGACTGCAGGACACACGTTAGAACACAGTGACATTCTACAACTGTTTACACTGAAAAATCAAGAACCGTTCATGATTAGAATAAATTGATCATCGGGAAAATTAACGATCGATTTTCGATTAATCTTTAACGTTTTTATATAATCATCATTATTTTTATTACTGTTACTAATCTGCATAAACAAACTTAACTTTACAACATATAAACCATCAAAACTCTAGAGCCACATCAGCCCGTTTGACATTAGAATGTGTTTAATGCAGCTTTGCACAAGTAGAAACGAAACTTAAAATGAGCCATGCACTCATTCGCATAAGCAGAGAAAAAAAAAAAAAAAAAGCTCTTGTGCGCTGATGTGGTTCAGTTCCTGTCGGACTAAAGGACACGACTCAGTGGAGTAAGAGTGTTCTCTCTGTGACAGAGGGGTGTTCTCTCTGTGACAGAGGGGTGTTCTGCTGATGGTGAGTCTGTTCTGTGTGTCGTGTACTTGTGCAGGTTTAGTGCAGATCTTTATGTTGCAGTAACTGGGATTCTGCGTTTACATGCACCATGACAAAACCGGGACTCTGATGCGCTGTAAACAAACTCACTGAGAGGTACAGGGTCTACAAGGAGCCAGAGCCCAAACGTGGGACTGAGGCCACAGCTCAAGTGTTTGTGGCACACGCAACTTCATATCTACAAACAGAAACCTACATTCGGTTTGTCGATTAGAAATGAACGTAATCGACGAAATTCTTAAATTATCGATTAGTCGATGCTGATCCTTAATATCAAATCATGACACCAGTATCCAACGAATATCGAATATTGTTGCATCCCTACATGTGACATAATAGAATTTTCCTTTGCCACTAGAGTGATATATTTTTAGTCATTTTCAGAACTAGCTGCAGAACTCAAACACTTTCTCACAGTTATTTTCAGATTCTATAAAATGTTGATGTCATATTTCTATATTTTGTAAATTTAGATGATAATGACACGAGTTCGGACGCAGATACTGTGGCAGGTGTTTACCTTCTGCTGGAGAGTTGGTTGAGTTTGGTGGAGGAGAAGCTCTGGTTCTTCTTGCCCAGTTTGAGGACTCTGTAGGCGTCGTCCGCTGTGTCCACGTGCACCCAGCGCAGGTCTGAGCACAACACACGTACGTTAGAGACGCACTGCAGTAAACAGTATCACTAAAACCACTTTATGCCACTGACACAATTAAAAACAAACTAAATTATCCCAAATGATTATATTTAAAGGTCCAATATGTAACTTTTTGGATGGGGGTCCATCACCTTCTTGTTTCTATGGATATTTAAGTTCTCTGCTTGGAATTAGACCTATAACAATAATCAATAAATCAACTAATTGTACAATAACTTTTAAGGAGCTCAATAACTTTTCCAGCCGCGATTAATTTCTATTTGCATGTTTGTTTTCCTCATCTGTCTCTCTCTTTACCAAAGAGTCTGAGTGTCAAAAGGCTTCTACCGCTCTCGGACTCCTCGCTTTCTTGGCGTAATGACGCTTGAATGAACATGTCAGCGTAGATGTACAGACAGATTATTTGTGAGTGCAGAAAGTTGCAACACTAACGCCGTCGTCAGAACCAGAACAGTTCATCGTCGTGTGACAAAACAAGTCACAATGCCAAATCAACACAAGTGGGACACTTAACAGTCACAAGCACAAACAACGAGAAGAAATGGTTCAAACGACAGCAGCCGACACACACCCAAACCCCGATCCACACAACAAGCCCCGCCCCCAGGAGAGCCCGAAATCCACTGAAAACCCACAAGATCCTGTGTTAAATGTTGCTTAGAAAGTAAAGTTTATTTATCTTTAAAAAGTGTATTTGCATTTTTATTCCATTGTCATTATATTAGTTGAAAATGGTCTCAAAATATCAACATTATCATTTATAACAATAATTTCTTAGTCAATTAATCGTCCAGCAAAATATGTTATCATTACAGGTCTACTCGGAATGTTCCATAATATGATATTAAAGATTGTATGGAGGATTATTTTGTCAATGAAAGTTCAAAACAGAAACGCAGGAGCCTTGTAATTATGATGTGCTCTTATACTTGTCCTGATTCAGCTCCAGGTCGTTCCTAAACACATTCAGGAAAGGTTCTGCTCTGTCCTGACAATCAGACTTTTGTATCGATACCTGCTCAGCTCAAATCAGTGTCTAGTTTCAGAAATAGTTTTAATACCAGTGGTGTGTGATTTTCGACAGCCCTGGCCCCTCGTACCTTTGACAAAGCTGTGTCCCTTGACGTCCTGGGACAGCCTCAGAGCCGTCCTCTTCTGGCTGCTGCTCGGTGGCGCCTCCAGCAGGTCGTGGATGTTCTCGTTGTAGATCTCGCAGAAGGAAACCCACACGGAGAACTTGGTGTGCTCCCCCAGGTCCAGACTGATCCTGTCGTCTGAAGTGAGCGCCGTCCCCACAATCGAGGCTGTAAAGGTCACAGGTCACAGAGCCATCAGCGTCATTGGGGTGAGTGTGATGTTGGAGGCGTGAGATGTACTCAGATTAAAATTAGAATCTTGAGTAGTTTTCAAAACACATTTCAAACAGTTTTAAAAGGCTGCAACAAAATTCATTTAATTCATATAATGTTCATATGTTCATGTCCTGCCCTTTTCTGAAAACATTAATAAAATGAACACATTTTGAGGGAAATAAAACATTCAAGGTCAAACAGTCCTAACTACAAAACATTACCATAAAACATGTTTCAAATCTGTCATTTTGTCCACAGTTTGAAACGTGAGCAGCACATTTTACCTTCATGTTGAGTCTTTATGGTTGAGTTCAGCAGAGTCGTGTTCCTGTCGACCTGTGGAACAAAAACACATGTTACAGACGCATCAACACTGAACCATTTACACACAAATCATATTTATAGGGATTTTTACTTTTTCACTCAGACAAAATAAAACATTTTTTGTCATATCACTCAGTCCTATCCTATAATTTGACAACATCTACACTTAAAAGCTACACTTACACTGAAGATGCAACCGAGCATTAAAAAGCAAAAGAAACTGCACAGACTGATCTGTTTACACGATGCATTTATCAGCATTTCTCTCTCAAAAAACACTTTGTTATTGATAATTTGCACAGAAATTCCAAATTGAAAATAAATACAGGCTACAAATCTGAACTTTAGAGCAGATTTGTGATGTACAAAACAGAAAATGAACAAAATAAACTTTGAACATGAAATAAGGCAGAAAAACATAAATGTATCCAAAATAACAAATAAATATACTTATTTATATAAAAATATCTCAAAATAAACTTTGTTAAGCTTTAAATGGTTTCAACTCAATTATATGAGTTTGGAGATACAAATCGAAAATCTCGAAATCTCGATCAAAATTCTATTAATTGCACAGACTTATATTGTACTGTGAGGTATTGTACTGTATTTATCGGACTATAAGTGGCACTTTTTTAATGGTTCGTGTGTTTCCTGTGACGTCTATATTAAAATGTTTGAGTGAAGTGTGGAGAGGTTCTAGTCTTGTGTGTGAGTATCTGCTGCTCCTGTTCCTCCTGTACCACTGTCACCACTGTCTCCTGCAGAAAGAGCCTCTGTCCTGCTGCGAGTCGTGAAATCTGCAGCTGAAAACGGAAATCGAGCAGCAGAAAGAAAGTTTGGAGTGAGAGAGAAACTTGTGACACTTGTGATGCACCATGAAACTTTCCTGAAGTCACTGGATGGATGGACAAAGTCTGGACTTCAGTGACACTGAAACCATCCTGTCGGGATTCAGAAAGACCCCAATAATTCTAACTGGAACTGATGCTGAGTCTGACGACAGCGACACAGAAGAGTTTGCTTCGCTCTGTTTACCTCTGGAGGTCGAGGACAAGTTGTTCAGAAATGACACCGAGGATGAAGAATTGAATGGATTTAGTGATTTGGAGTGAGATGGAGAGTTTGGTTAAACTTGTTCTGTTCTGTTGTTTATGTTATAGTTTATCTGAAGAACTGTTCATATGTAACGTTAACAGTCTGTTGTTTTCTCTTCTATTGTTTTTACTACAACTTGACTTTGCACAGGAAATGTCTGCTCCTGATCTCTCATTTTATAAAATATATTTCCCCAAAAAAGTGCAACTTATTTATGTTTTTCTTCTTCTTCATTACACATTTTTTGGCTGGTTCGACTTATACTCTGGAACAACTTATAGTCTGAAAAATCCTGTACTTTAACGGTGAACAGAGTGATAATAAAACCGAACCCTCTGCTCCGTGGTGTTAGGGTTAGCGCTCACCTCTCTGCTCTGCTTGAGGAGGCTCCTCTTGAGCAGGATCTGCTCCACCTGCTGCTCTTTGGTGAGTCTGGTGAACTCTCTGCAGCGGTGAGGTCTGATGGAGAGGTCGCTGTACACGTGCTCCTCGATGCTGTTGAAGATGGTGCTCAAAGCTCTGGGCAGGAGGCCTGCGTCTGCCTCTGGGCCTGGAGGGAAACGCCAGAGGGGGACAGGGTTTGAGAGAGCTGGAGTTATGGCTCCATGTATAAGAATTCAGTGTTTCCCATTAGAAAAGAAGACTACGGTGGCCTCCTGTAGTTTTCCTGTTCATCTAAAAGCACGTTTGGAGCCGTTTGAGCCGATCTGGACAGCAGCAGCAGCACAGTTGGTTGACACAGTGTACAAAAATGTCCTATTAATAAAAGCTGGAAAAAAATACATACACTCTTTAAACCAAAATCTTTTATCTCACCCATGTGGTTTTCATTTGATTTCATTTCCTTATTTTTTTTAAATCATCAGTTGTTCCATTGTGATTGTCTGATACTGTATTTGTCTTCACCTTTGCTTCCATTTAAACTAGGGCCCAGTCAAGTAAACAACAAGGCCAAAAAATCAAGTTAATGCATCTGATATAAAAATGTATTGAACAGATACATATGTACTCTAGTTTATGAAACTGTTGACCTTTTTTCTGTACCATTTTTGGTTCTAAAGTTCCATATGTTTTAAACAGACCATGTATGAAACATGGAACAAAAATTATTTCCCAAATTTCAAAGACCTGCAAATCATGTAAATAAATGGATGCATTTCATCATATCTTGTGTTATTACCTCCGCCAAGGAGGTTATGTTTTTGCCTGCGTTTGTTTGTTTGTTTGTTTGTTTGTTTGTCTGTTAGCAACATAACTCAAAAAGTTATGGACCGATTTTGATGACATTTTCAGGATTTGTTGGAAATGTGAAAAGAAAGAACTGATTTCATTTTGGGGCTGATCCGGAAGAAATCCTGGATTCTGGATCACTTTGAAATTTTAGTTAACATTGTGGTAAATGGGGCCAAAAATTGTGTTTCTCAATATCTCGGTTAATTATTGAGCAAACCCCATGAAATTTGACTCAGGGATGGACAATGGGATCCTCTTTCATATTCCAAAGGCTGATCCGGATCTGATACAGAAGACTGATTTTATCGCAATTTATATAAAAAATGGGGGTAGTCCTTGGCGGAGGTCTGCGCTCTCTCAGTGCTTTTCTGGTTCCATCTTTGAACTGTTGATGAAGGTACATGATTTTTTTTTTTTTAATGTTTTTAAAATGATAAAAATGTTCTTGGAAGGACTGACATATTTTAAAGAAATAGTTTCTTTCATTTTGAAGTAATATTAAAGTTTTCAGAAGAAAAAAAGTGACAAATGATGTAAAATCCTGCACCTTCTACTTGTTTGAACAATTTTCCCTCCGTTACTTTTCCCTCCGTTACCATGACCTTTCTTAATAAAAAATCTCATGAGTCAAAAAGTCAGAGGTTTTTCAACCTAATCTTGTACCATATGGTAGAAAACTATATGAAGCAAATATTCAAACCAGTTTGTTAAGGATATGGAAGTGAGAACCAAGAGTTATCACTGTTTGGATTTATTGACCAAAAAGTGCTGCATATTTCATTCCCTCCGTTACCGACATGAGTTTTTAAATTTTTTGTCAACAACTTGAAAGAATCTCACAGGTTTAACTTGACCCTGTTGGAGTGTAACTCTTTCCTACATTCTGATACTTTACTTATTTCAATAGTCCCTCTAGTTTCTGAATAAGAGACATTTGAATGTCAAAAATCTGCCCCCGTTTCCCTCCGTTACCACTTGACCGGACCCACTAGTGTCATTATTATTATTCCAGTCTGTATTTAACCCGCTCTGGGCAGCTCGTCGATACCGATACCTGAAAAAAGTGCAGTATCAGAGTGTTCGCTGAGCAGTATCAGAACAACCCGAGTTATAACGCTTAAAAAAAAGTCAAATTTGCACAACAGGTGAGTTTTAGAAAGTGGATACACAGACAGCGATACAGACCTAAGAAGGTGAAGGTCTTGCCGGCGTTGGTGACTCCGTAAGTGAAGACCAGAGAGTTTCCTCCGGTCAGAACGTCTTTGACCAGGTCCTTCACGGTGCCATCGTAGAGCTGCTTCTGCGTTGTGTCCGGCCCGTAAACCTGCGAGGGAGAACGAGGCTTCAGGGTCAGCGCTGGATCAGAGCACGGCGGCTAATACGGGTCTGTAAACGGTCCATCTCATGCAAAATCAACTTTTCAGATCTTTCTACCTTCTCAGAGTGATGTGTGGGCCTTGGATTTGTCGCTGAAGTGGTTTTTAGATTGATTCTGCTTTTTTTTTTTTTACAAATTGCAGTGTATTTCTTCTGCCCTCCCACGTGACAACGAACTAAAGCTGCTACAACGATGACGCGGCAGATTCACATATGACGCACCCGCCACCCTCCCCACCCTCCCCACCCTCCCCACCTGCCTCCACCTCCTCCACCGCCTCCACCGCATCGTCTGACAATTCCCACATGAACCTAAACAAAAGCCACAGTTTAAGCTCATTGTTCTACAATGCAGTGAACACAATAAAATAAGTTGATCTACTAGTGTTTATTAAAACTTTACCAATCAGTAATGTTCAGCTGATGTGGACGAGGTCCGATTCCAGGTCCAACACATGCGGCTGAACGCGCTGTATCTCCATGATGAATAAAAGTTTATTCCTGCAACTATCAGGGTCACGTCTGTCTCCCCCTCCCTCCCTGAGACGGCGGAGGAAGGGCGGCTCACTCAGAGTCTACGTCACGTTTGGAGGGCGGAGCCTGTGCTTTCTCAGGACGGGCGGAGGGAGGAGCAATAGTCGGACTTTCATAGTTCCTGGTCTGTGACTGTCTCCAAGAAATCAGGAAGATTTCAGAACTATTGTGTAATGGATGTTCCAAAACCCAAACTGTGTGAAAAGAATTATTTTACATCAGATGGACGCTTAAAGGGGTCGTGTCACTTTCTTTTCTTGAACATTTTGGGGAGATTTGTCGAGTTTTCAGGGCCAGAGGCGTTGGGGGAATCACAACTGGAGAAACACTCCACTCTAGTGGCGGGATGAGGTCACTTCACAGGGAACAACTGCGGTGCATTGTGGTAGATGTAGCAGCAGCAGCACAGAGTCATGAACATTAATTATACTTTTTAACCGCTTGTGGGCCACATAAAATGGCTTGGATGCAGACCGCAGGACTTGGCATTGCCTCATGTGATATACTGATATGAAGTGAAGTTATGTTTATATATGTAAAAAAAAATGTGTATAAAAGATCATTTGTTCCATTAGATTTTGAACTTTAAATACAGGGTTCCCACTCTTTTTCACAGTTTTTTTTTTTTTGACAATTTCAAAACATTTCTATGACTTTTTTTATGATCTAAAGTGAATTTTCCATGACTTTACAGCACCTACATGTGTAGAATTGATCAGATTTTTAGGGTTAAATATGAAATGTGAACTCTTTCCACTCACCTTCTGGTTTGAGATTCTAGTTTTTGAACATTTAAAATCCTGTCAGTGCATTTATTGTCATCTCTTTTAAACAAAAGGTGCAGACGTTCACAAATAATCAGAACAGACTCATGAGAACTGAACAGTACACTGTAGTTGTGTGAAAGAAATACTAAAACTCCATGACTTTTTCAAGCCTGGAAAATGACATTTTCAATTTCCATGAATTTTCCAGGATTTCCATGATTGTGGGAACCCTGTAAATACCGTTGAATTACTCACTTCTCAATATTTTTCAAGTTCAAAATAAAAATTTCACCTTTTAAATATTCAGCACAAATACTTTAAAATCAGTCAAAATTCAGAGTGTAAAAATTGCAGGAAAAATTTCACAGCAAAAATCCAAAACGCCAAGGCAGAAGCATCGATGTCGTGTGAGTGAGGAGGACAGAGGCTGTTTCCTATTGGCTGTTCTCATCTGGGGGCGGGGTTTGAGGTTTCGACGAGGCTAATTCTGACCAATCAGATCGCTTCACTGCACCATTATCTGTTTGTTACGAAGTCAGATCGGATCAGTTTGGATCGATCACTTTTGCCTTGGAATATTGGATCTTTGCTGTAAATCTTTTTACTGCAAATTTTACGCTCCAGATTTTACACTCTAGATTTTACACTCCGAATATTATACTCCGAATATTAAACTCCAGATTTTACACTCCAGATTTTACATTCCGAATATTACACTCCACATTTTACACTCTGAATATTACACTTCGAATATTACACTCCACATTTTAAATTCTAAATTTTGACCATTGAATCTGAGGGCTTGAAAATATTTGTTCTGAATATTTAAAAGGTGTTTTTGTTTTTTTGTTTTTTTACATGAAACAATTGAAAATACAAACTTTAAATTTCATCAACTGACATTCAGAGTAAAATAACTCAAACATGTTTATTCCGCTTAAAAAAAAAAAAAAAAAAAGTGAGAAATTTGACGGCATTTCAAAATCTGAATCTAATGGAACAAATTGTCTTCCACGCCCAGCACGACGTCACTGCAAAGAATCATCTAAACCTAAACATGAGCCGTGAGCCGTGGCGTTGTACCTGAGAGAACTGGAAGCGCTGTCCGGTCTGCGGCAGCGAGCGCTCCGTCCCGGCCGCGCTCTGCCTCACGGGCGGAGACGAGACGGGAGGTTTCACCAGAACTGTGTCCGAAGTCTCGATGGTCACGCAGTCCTGGAGGAAGAGGAGGAGTAGGAGGCAAATACGGTTTATTTAGACATTATTGGGTTCTAAAATCATGTTGCACTTCATTTCTACGTACTACTTCTTTTGAAATACAATGCAACACAGTGAGTGGACTTAAAATACTACGACTATTGTATTTTCTGCACTATTAGTCGCTCTGGATTATAAGGCGCATCATTAAATGTTTATTTGTGAAAAAAGTTCAAGAATAGACCCCCGTGGGACTTTAAAGGAAACCCGACAGTGTGATGGGTGAGTGGTTTTGTTTGTTTGGTGCGTTCACGGTGACTCTGGGCTTTGTTCAGTTTAGGGATGGGCAGGATTATTGATTAGTCGATTGATCGATAATTGATCATTAAGAATTTCATCGATTACGTTCATTTTTAATCAACAAACCGAATGTATGTTGCTGTGCGCAGAGTAGGGTAACCAAGCGTCCATTTTTCCCCGAACATGTCCGTTTTTCACGTCTTGTTCTGGCCATCCGAGATTTTGTTTATAAAGTGATGCAAATGTTCAGGTTTTCATTTCCTTTCATTGGGTCATTGAACTGAGCGTCTCTTGTGGCGTCTGTGACTCAGAAGGAGCGAGACACAAACAGCTGAAGCGCAAATGCGCATTTAACAATGACTTGTACCAGAAATTCCCCACTTTTCCCATTTCATAGTAAACTTCTAAGTAAATGAAGATTCTATTGATATTACAGACTGAAAAAATGTGTCCTGCTTTAGGAAGATCAGCAAAATGACATAAACAAGGCCCAACGTTTTGTCTGGTACATTCACATTTTATTTTATTATGATATAAAAGCTGATTTTGTAACTCAGTACATCACAGTGTGTGAGGCCAGCTTGAACGTCCCATCCTGGGAGGAGGGGGACGTTCAAGCCGAGACTTTCAAGCCAGGGGGACGTTCGAGCCGGTATTCCCTACGAGAAACTGACATGATACAGACAGGACAGAGGCTCTTTCTGCAGGAGACATGTGCAGTAGAGCGCAGGGAGAGACGCGGTGATGCGCCGAGGAAGATGCAGTTTTTTGATTGTGTTTTATTTTATTTTGCACTTTAAACACTAACCCTCCTCAAGGAAAATACACAAAGAAATACAGATGATGCAGATGATTGCTCCGTCTTCCTATGACCTCCTGTATAAAGCTGAGATTTTATATTCTATTAATGATCTTTCTCTAATGATGGTCTCTTGCTCTTTTTTGCTACTTCAGAATTTATTATTACCATTTATACTTTTGCTCTTTGTTATTATATTATATCGTGATATGTGAGCTGCTGTGTCCAAATAATTTTCCTTGTGGATCAATAAAGTTTGTCTAAGTCTAAGTGAAGACGTGGACACCTGCTGCTTATAGACAAGTGCGGCCTTTATATATGTACACTTTTTTCCTTTTTAAATTGAGTTGATGCGTGTTATATTCAGGTGCACTCAATAGTCCGGAAATTACCGTAATCTGGGAAAACTGAGAAAATGGCCTGGTTTTCTTCATCTAGATGTCACTGTATTCTTTCTTTTTTCCTTTTATAAATTGCCCATTAATTTGTGTATTAAAATTTGTCTTATTTAATGAAGTTTGGACTGAGGTTTGTCACTCCGTGGTCCGATTCCAGGCGCTTTTGGATTCAAACAGAATGTAGAAGAGTGTGGCTGGTCAGGCAAGGATATCGGTATGAAAAAAAAATCCAGATCCCTATCCCTCCTATCCCTAATAAATGACAAATGAACCAGTTTATGACATTTTAGTGAAATCCCAAACTCTTTGTTCTGTGGACCTGGTCTGACCTGAGCCTCCCCGGTGTTTCTCTCTGCGGCGGTGAAAGGACGGACGCGAAGGTAAACCTGCAGGTGCTCCTTCTCCTCCACAACCGAACTCTGAAAAACACAAACAATCACATTATGTAACTGTAAATGAATCAAAACATAGAAATAAATTTTAAAAAGTGGATGAACAAAGTGTATGAAATGGAAACGATAACAAAGAAACTAAGGAATAACACTGAAATTTTTGAAAATAGATTTTTTTGTAGGGATGTCCCGATCACATTTTTTTGCCCCCGAGTCCGAGTCCTTTGATTCTGAGTATCTGCCGATACCGAGTCCCGATCCGATACTTCGATAAAACATTATAAAATTAACTAAGAGCAAAGATCCAGGATGTTTGTGGGATCAGGTTGTGCTGATTTCATGTGTCGTATTTGAGCTGAACTTAGTGTGAAAAATCAAATGTCCAAAGCTTTAATTTTTTTTAATTAACTTTTCTAACCATGAACCATCAGTGTTGAAAATCTTGACTTTTCACAGTTTGGTCTTGGAATGTGTAACTTAGTAAACTTAATGAACTGGACAAAACAGGAACCAGACCAGAACTAGGGCTGGGTATCATTAAGGAGTTGCCGATACGATACATATCTCGATACACTGCACTTTCGATTCGATATGATCGAAATCAACATCAAGTGTGAGTCCATGTGCACAGTGTATAAAGCAGCACATATGTTTCTGTGTCCAGTGGGAAAAAGTTTTTCCAGGTGAGAGTCGCTCAATGTGGATGACGAGGCCCCGCCCCCCTCCCCCCGTACGCTGTCCTGGTTTTGACAAACACAAATCTGGTCACACTGACCTGTATTCACCTGAGTCATGTCTTTTAATCCAACACAAGTTGAACCACATCAGTGACACAAGAGCTGGAGTTTTATCTTCACTTAGTTTATGTAAATTAGTGATGTGGTTTTAAGTTTTGTTTCTGTGAGATTTGAACAAAACTGAATTAAACACATTATAATGTCAAACAGCTGATGTGGATCTAGAGTCGTTATGTTTATATGTCGTAAAGTTGAATTTATTTATTCAGATTAGTGCAGATAGTAATAATAATGATGATCATTTTAATATAAAAACATTAATGATTAATCGATAATCGATCGTTAATTCTTCCGACGATCAATTAAGAAAATTTCATCGAATGCCCGTCCCTACTCATAATTCCTGTTTCTGTCCAGAGTTAAACATTTAAACTTCTTTATAAAGTGAAAGAGTTTGGTGCACAGTTTTAGGTTTTCTGTACATTTGTTCCATAGCTCCAGCCCTTTAACAGATTTACAAAATTTCATAATGTTTGTTCTGATTTTCTTTTTGATAAACACGGTCGTGCCTCTGAGCTCATATCGGCTCTTTCCGATTTTGAACATGTTTTGTAACGATTTTGACAGGAGATTGTTGTTTACTTTGAACATGATTTTCATATATAATGCCCGAGTCCAGATCAAGTCCACAGTCACGTGATCAGGTCGGGACAACCCTAAATTTTTTGTTTACTTTTTCCCTTCCATAATTCCATGTATCTTGCTTCACGTCTTCTGAGTGTTTATAAAATGTAGAAAGTAGAGAGAATAATTGAAAAAACGAGAGAGTGTGTCCAAACTTGAGACTGGTGCATAAACAGTGAGTGTGTTGTGAGCTGTGAGTCGTACCAGCAGGTCTGAGGAGGAGGAGCTGAGTTCAGAGGAAACGTCTCTGTTGGAAACATCAGTCTCACGTTGCTCCGGTTTGTCCTCCGAGCAAACTTCCATCTTAGCTCCTAAAAACACAAAAGCAACAAAAAGCGTTACACAAGTTACGTTTAAAAGGTACACAGGTCAGACCGAACATAAAAATAAAAAATAAAAATAAAAAATTTTGTTGGCACTGTAGTCAGAGCATCCCCTTTGCAGTTCTGGAACCTCAAAATATATTTTACTGACAACATCTCCATTTTGAGAGGTGAGATTAAATAAATTATTCCTCTTCCAACTCCTTTTTTTGGGCACAGTTTTGTTGTTGTGTTAGTCCCGGTTTAGTCCTGGTTTAGTCCTGGTTTAGTCCCACTCTAGTACCTGGTTTAGTCCTGGTTTAGTCTCACTCTTGGACCTGGTTTAGTCCTGGTTTAGTCCCACTCTAGTACCTGGTTAAGTCTCAGTCTAGTACCTGGTCCAGTACCTGGTTTAGTCCTGGTGTAGCCCCAATTTAGTACTCGCTTTAGTCCTGGTTTAGTCCTGGTTTAGTCCCGCTCTAGGACCTGGTTTAGTCCTGGTTTAGTCCCGGTTTAGTCCCGGTTTAGTCCCGGTTTAGTCCCGGTTTAGTCCCGGTTTAGTCCCGGTTTAGTCCCGATTTAGTCCCTGGTTTAGTCCCTGGTTTAGGACCTGGTTTAGGACCTGGTTTAGGACCTGGTTTAGTCCCAGTTTAGGACCTGGTTTAGTCCCGGTTTAGGACCTGGTTTAGTCCCAGTTTAGGACCTGGTTTAGTCCCAGTTTAGGACCTGGTTTAGTCCCGCTCTAGGACTTGGTTTAGTCCCACTTTCATTGTGTTTTGATAATTTTTAAACAGCTTTTTTTGTATTTTACTTAAACAAATGACACTTTAAGTCTCTTTTTACTGTTGACAGGGATCAGATTGTTCCAAAATAGGGACATCTGGGACATTTCATGCTTAAAACTGGGACAAATCACAAATAATTTTAGTATAAATCTGCTGGGACAGGGGAAGTGAGTGTGGATCGCAGCTCAAACTAAAAAAAAAAAAAAAAAAAAAAAAGTGCTAAAAAATGCTGAATAAAGCTGCAAGTCTGTGAATGTAATACCTGATTTAGTCCTGGTTTAGTCCCGGTTTAGTCCCGTTCTAGTACCTGGTTTAGTCTCGCTCTAGTACCCAATTTAGTCCGGGTTTAATCCTGGTTTAGTCCCGCTCTAGTACCTGGTTTAGTTTCAGTTTAGTATCTGGTTTAGTCTCAGTCTAGTACCTGGTTTAATCCTAGTTTAGTCCCACTCTAGTACCTGGTTTAGTCCTAGTTTAGTCCCACTCTAGTACCTGGTTTAGTCCTAGTTTAGTCCCACTCTAGTACCTGGTTTAGTCCTAGTTTAGTCCCACTCTAGTACCTGATTTAGTCTCAGTTTAATACCCAGTTTGGTCTCAGTCTAGTACCTGGTTTAGCTCTGGATTAGCTCTGATTTAGTCCTGGTTTAGTCCCATTTCTTGCCTAAAACTGGGACAAATCACAAATCATTTATGTATAAATCTGCTGGGACAGGGGAAGTGAGGATGGACCGCAGCTCCAAACAAAAAAAAGAAAAGAAAAAAAAAAAGTGCTAAAAAAAAAGTTGAATAAAGTTACAAATCTGCGAATGTACTGCGCACAACAGCTCCTCAAATAATTATCGCTTCTGACCATTTTCCAAAGTGACTTGCCAACGACGTAGTGTCTGATTTTACGCGTTTTTCCGGGATCAAAACAAAAACAAAATAAAAACAAAATAAAAACAAAGCTCGGGGCGTTGTGCTGCTAAGCTAACGACGCTAACCGCTGTCAAAAGTTGTGTTTTTGAGATCGTCCGCGCTCATAATCCCGTCCATAGCGTGATGTCTGCTGAAATAAAGACACGCGGTTTACCTCTCACCTGTAGCCTGGTTTCATGGAGTTTTTTGGGTGTTTCTTTGGTGTTTTTTGGTTGGATTTTGTGGACAGAGCTCACGGGGAGAAGCCGCGGTGAGTTTGAATCTGCCGCAGGGGCACGACCGCGCATGCGCCATCACCGGGGGACGTTTACGTGTATGTCCGGAAGTAGGAATTAAAATAACGCTTTAAGATTGTAAGATTGTTTAAAAAAAAAAAAAAAAATGACGATAAAAATAATATGAGTTAAGTACTACGACGGAGTATAAGGGTCAGATTTTTAAAAAAATGCTGGCGCTACGAGAATAAAGTCGTAACATTTCGACATTAAAGTCGTAATATTATGAGAATAAAGTCGAAGCCAGAAAAAGTCGTAATTTTACGAGAATAAAGTGATATTTTTACGAGAATAAAGTCGTAGTCAAAATAAAGTCGTAATATTAAGAGAATATCGGTTGTTTGGAAAGTCTGAACGAGTGGAGAATGGAGAATTTGGAGCATTTTGTAAAGGAGAAGAATCCATGTATCATTTGTTCATTCGACTGAACAAGGACTGAATCAGGACTAAACCAGGTCCGGAACCAAACCAGAAAGACCAGGATTGAGACCGGGACCAGACCAGGACTGAGGCCGGGGCCAGACCAGGACTGAAAATGGTTTAGTCCTAGTTTAGTCCTGGTTTAAGTCACGGAAATGGGAAATGGCGTTTCCACTGAACCATTTTCAGTGCTGGTCCTGTTCCCGGTCTCAATCCTGGTCTCAGTTCTTGTCTGATCCCAGTCTCAGTCTTGGTCCCTGAGTCAGGCCTTGTTTAAGTCCTGGTCTCAGTCCCGGTCTGGTCTTGGACCTCGTTTAGTCCTGGTTCAGTCCTGGTTTAGTCCTGGTTCAGTCCTGGTTCAGTCCTGGTTCTGTCCTGGTTCAGTCCGGAGGTGCAAATAATGAAGAAAATTGTTGTTCATTTTCTTATTTTTGGTTTTATATTGAAAAACAAGGTTCTTCTTCTGCCGCATTTTTCACTTTGACTTTGATTTTATTACGACTTCATTCTCATAATATTATAACTTTATTCTCATAATATTACGACTTTATTTTAACTTCGACTTTATTCTCATAATATTACGACTTTAATGTCAAAATGTTACGACTTTATTCTCGTAGCGCCAGCATTTTTTATTTTTTATTTTTATCTGACCCTTATATTCCGTCGTAAGTGACTAAAATTATTAAAAGAAAAAAAAGGGAGAAAGGAAAATTAAATTATAAATTGGTCAAAATATGCATATAAGGAGTGTGGTTTATGCTGCACTAACACATTATTTTTGTTTTATTTAATAAAATTTGTGTGTGGGGGGTGGGGGGTAAATTCTAAATAAGCAAAAAAGGGGCAAGAGACTGTGTGAAATAAGATATAATTATATAAACATAAATGTACAAGTCAAAATAAAATAGAAAAACCAGTAATGAAATATAAATAAATAATATAAAATCTTTATACAAGAGGTAATAGGAAGACAGTGCAACAATGATGAGATGACTGAGTTGTTGTACAGTTGTAGGGAGTATTATCTGTTACATAAGGGTGAGTTGTTGTACAGTTGTAGGGAGTATTATCTGTTACATAAGGGTGAGTTTTTTGTACAGTTGTAGGGAGTATTATCTGTTACATAAGGGTGAGTTTTTGTACAGTTGTAGGGAGTATTATCTGTTACATAAGGGTGAGTTGTTGTACAGTTGTAGGGAGTATTATCTGTTACATAAGAGTGAGTTTTTGTACAGTTGTAGGGAGTATTATCTGTTACATAAGGGTGAGTTGTTTTGTACAGTTGTAGGGAGTATTATCTGTTACATAAGGGTGAGTTGTTGTACAGTTGTAGGGAGTATTATCTGTTACATAAGAGTGAGTTTTTGTACAGTTGTAGGGAGTATTATCTGTTACATAAGAGTGAGTTTTTGTACAGTTGTAGGGAGTATTATCTGTTACATAAGGTGAGTTTTTGTACAGTTGTAGGGAGTATTATCTGTTACATAAGGGTGAGTTGTTGTACAGTTGTAGGGAGTATTATCTGTTACATAAGGTTGAGTTGTTATACAGTTGTAGGGAGTATTATCTGTGACATAAGGGTGAGTTTTTGTACAGTTGTAGGGAGTATTATCTGTTACATAAGGGTGAGTCGGTGCCCAAAGGTGATTATTTGAGTTCTGTTTAGTCCTAAATTTGCTCACCGCTTTTGTTTGTCAGTTTTCGTTGACAAATTGTCTTGAGAGGAGCCGTCGTTTCGTTGAGAATGGAGAATTTTCTTCCAGGAGCAGAGTGGGCAGTGACTGTTGAGCTCTGAAATCCGAAAAGCTTCAAATTCTTGTTGTTATCTTGATTCTCGCTCACGTTCGAGGAGTATCGACCCTGTAGGCAAAACATTCTTGGAGGATGGAATAAACATCTGACCAATCACAGGCCGGTTCTTAGAGTGAGTGACAGCACCGTGGAACTTTTCAGCCCAGATTTTAGAGTTTATCTTCCTTTCATACTCATTTATGTAGTAGTAGTAGTAGTAGTAGTAGTAGTAGTAGTAGTAGTAGTAGTAGTAGTAGTAGCAGCAGCAGCAGCAGCAGTGGTATTAGTAGTAGTAGTAGTAGTAGTAGTGGTAGTAGTAGTAGTAGTAGTAGTAGTAGTAGTAGTAGTAGTAGTAGTAGTAGTAGTAGTAGTAGTAGTAGTAGTAGTAGTAGTAGTAGTAGTAGTAGTAGTAGTAGTAGTAGTAGTAGTAGTAGTAGTAGTAGTAGTAGTAGTAGTAGTAGTAGTAGTAGTAGTAGTAGTAGTAGTAGTAGTAGTAGTAGTAGTAGTAGTAGTAGTAGTAGTAGTAGTAGTAGTAGTAGTAGTAGTAGTAGTAGTAGTAGTAGTGGTGGTGGTAGTAGTAGTAGTAGTAGTAGTAGTAGTAGTAGTAGCAGCAGCAGCAGTAGTAGTAGTAGTAGTAGTAGTAGTAGTAGTAGTAGTAGTAGTAGTAGTAGTAGTAGTAGTAGTAGTAGTAGTAGTAGTAGTAGTAGTAGTAGTAGTAGTAGTAGTAGTAGTAGTAGTAGTAGTAGTAGTAGTAGTAGTAGTAGCAGCAGCAGTGGTAGTAGTAGTAGTAGTAGTAGTAGTAGTAGTAGTAGTAGTAGTAGTAGTAGTAGTAGTAGTAGTAGTAGTAGTAGTAGTAGTAGTAGTAGTAGTAGTAGTAGTAGTAGTAGTAGTAGTAGTAGTAGTAGTAGTAGTAGTAGTAGTAGTAGTAGTAGTAGTAGTAGTAGTAGTAGTAGTAGTAGTAGTAGTAGTAGTAGTAGTAGTAGTAGTAGTAGTAGTAGTAGTAGTAGTAGTAGTAGTAGTAGTAGTAGTAGTAGTAGTAGTAGTAGTAGTAGTAGTAGTAGTAGTAGTAGTAGTAGTAGTAGTAGTAGTAGTAGTAGTAGTAGTAGTAGTAGTAGTAGTAGTAGTAGTAGTAGTAGTAGTAGTAGTATCAGTAGTAGTAGTAGTAGTAGTAGTAGTAGTAGTAGTAGTAGTAGTAGTAGTAGTAGTAGTAGTAGTAGTAGTAGTAGTAGTTGTTGTAGTAGTATTAGTAGTAGTAATAATAGTAGTAGTAGAATACTTTTTCAAAATGTTTAAATTCAATATAAAAAACTAGTAGTAGTTGTAGTAGTAGTAGTATAGTAGTAGTAGTAGTAGTAGTAGTAGTAGTAGTAGTAGTAGTAGTAGTATCAGTAGTAGTAGTAGTAGTAGTAGTATCAGTAGTAGTAGTAGTAGTAGTAGTAGTAGTAGTAGTAGTAGTAGTAGTAGTATAGTAGTAGTAGTAGTAGTAGTAGTAGTAGTAGTAGTAGTTGTTGTAGTAGTATTAGTAGTAGTAATAATAGTAGTAGTAGTAGTAGAATACTAGTAGTTTCAAAAGTAGTAGTAGTAGTAGTAGTATTCATAGTATAGTAAGTAGTAGTAGTAGTAGTAGTAGTATCAGTAATAGTAGTAGTAGTAGTAGTAGTAGTAGTAGTAGTAGTAGTAGTAGTAGTAGTAGTAGTAGTAGTATCAGTAATAGTAGTAGTAGTAGTAGTAGTAGTAGTAGTAGTAGTAGTAGTAGTAGTAGTAGTAGTAGTAGTAGTAGTAGTAGCTAGTAGTAGTAGTAGTAGTAGTAGTAGTAGTAGTAGTAGTAGTAGTAGTAGTAGTTGTAGTAGTATTAGTAGTAGTAATAATAGTAGTAGTAGTAGAATAGTTTTTCAAAAATGTTTAAATTCAATAGTAGTAGTAGTAGTAACTAGTAATAGTAGTAGTAGTAGTAGTAGTAGTAGTAGTAGTAGTAGTAGTAGTAGTAGTAGTAGTAGTAGTAGTAGTAGTAGTAGTAGTAGTAGTAGTAGTAGTAGCAGCAGTAGTATTAGTAGAAGTAGTAGTAGTAGTAGTAGTTGTTGTAGTAGTAGTAGTAGTAGTAATAATAGTAGTAGTAGTAGAATACTTTTTCAAAATGTTTAAATTCAGTATAAAAAAATTACCTTTTAAATATTCAGCACAAATATTTTCAAACTCTCAAATTAAACTCCAAATTCTGAGTGTAAAATTGGCATTGATCCGTTCAGACGCGGAGTCAAAAACACGGGTTGGACGTCTTTACATTTGAGTCCAGGGCGTCTTTTTCCCCGGACTCGTCATTTTCTGTCTTTTCCTGGAAAGATGAACCAGGCTGAGAGAGACTTCAGTGTTTTTATTACATAAAACAAAAGTGGACGAGGTCTGTTTATATTTATACTTCTACTAAGTCCTGGAGTCCTAGTCCTTTAGTCCTGGTCCTAGTCCTAGTCCTGGTTTAGTCCTGGTTGCTGATTTAGTCCTGGTGTAGTCCTGGTGTGGTCCTGCTGTAGTCCTGGTGTAGTTCTGGTGTGTAGTCCTGGTGTAGTCTAGCTGTAGTCCTGGTGTAGTCCTGTAGTCCTGTAGTGTGTAGTCCTGGTGTAGTCCTGGTGTAGTCCTGCTGTAGTCCTGGTGTAGTCCTGGTGTAGTCCTGGTGTAGTCTGCTGTAGTCCTGCTGTAGTCCTGGTGTAGTCCTGCTGTAGTCCTGGTGTAGTCCTGGTGTAGTCCTGGTGTAGTCCTGGTGTAGTCCTGGTGTAGTCCTGGTGTAGT